GACACGCCGAATAAAAGTATCGATCGACACGGAGGTGGGGGAGCCATTACTAGGAAGCTTTCCACCCCACCTTCGGCCTGTACTCAGGGAAGTACAGGCGTTCCGCTCTCTGAGAGACAACGAATGTTGGATTTTATCAGTGTTTTATTGCGCCTCTTCGCGCGCGGAAGGAGACGTCCCTTTTTACCCTCGTCCGATAACCGTTCGGATTTTTTCTTCGCGTCGATTTGCCGGGAGCCAACCGAGTTTGCCGGCTAATTTTCGCCAGTTCTTTGTTTATTCGAAAAAGAGCGACGCGGAGTATAAGCTCGGGATATACGTATCCCGCAGGCGTGACGAGGGCGAGGAGCTTTTCTTGCAGCCCGAGGAAGGGGCGCGCGATGAGTCATGCTCTCGCCGGCGACCCCCGAAAATAAGGGTGAAACGAGGGTGAACTCACTGCGCGCTATTCATGCCTTTGTCGCTCGATCCGTTTTTTTGATACGAGGAAATGCCGACAGTCCCGCGCAGCCATCGACAACATGTTTCTCTACCCTCCCCAATGATTTCACGACAATGCCTACGCTCGCTTTTTTTCCCCGTGTTTCAGGTGAGCGTCGTTCGTGCAAAGCGAACCGCGCGGGCTCGGCTCGTCGATTTTGCTGTTCCAAAGCAGTTCAACCTCTCGAGTCGCCTCGATCGCCAACTTTCGTCGAGTCGACATTCCTAGTGGCGAGCTTTACAACTTGGCGCTTTAATTTTCCGACAAAGCCCTTTTCTCGCGATACGTTGCTCGAGAGGCAAAGGAAAGACGCCGCCGTCTTCGATTTTATATTCCAAAACGGTAAGTTCTCCTTCAATTCCCTCGGCGCGCCCAGGCTCCTTCCCTTTTTCGCCTTTTCTTCGCGCTCATCGATCAACGATGCGTCTGGGATTCACATGTAGACTCGGGGTCGGCTGACTCCCCCCCCCCCCCCTCCGGAACGCGTCTGCTTGGTCGAAAAACGCGAGCCTCGAGCTCGCTCGCTGGACAAACAGTCGCATCGGGCGCACGGCGAGCTTTTACTTATCGGCCAGCGGAAACTTTCCCGCTGGCAGGCCGCTCGATCGAGCGAGAAAGCTTAAGCGCGTTAACGCGAGCGTGGACGGGCGACACGCGGCGAAAGTTGCGAGCGCGCACGCTTCAGCCGCGTTCACGGGAACTCGATACGTAGCGATTCCACCCGCTGCGCGCGCAACGGACGCAGCTGCGGTGTCGACCAAGATTTTCGCTACTTTGCTTTCGATTTTCGCGAACCAATAGTCGCTCGATCAGCATCCCCGCTTTTTTGCGCATCGGTTTTTTTTTCACTATTTTACTGCATTCCCTCCATCGCAATGAATCCAGTTCACGTTTAAAGGGCCTTTCGCTATGCAGCTAGCGGCGCCCACGGGTTGCGTAATGAAATTGTCCACGGGCGGCGGGCCAATCGATCGCCGCGAGACCCGCTTGTCGAGGCCACACGTCGGTCGAATTCCCGCCCCGAGAAAAATGACGAGAGGAGAGCCGAGCTGCGAAAATTCGAATCGAATGTGTATTGTTCGAAGCCAGGGCAAGACGAGGCAAGGTAAATATACGCGGACGCGACGGGCGTGAAAGGCCTGAGCAAACAGAGTGCACGCAAAACGAGAGAGGGGCGAGGGCTTGACCGGGTCACATACACACAACGAGCCTCTAGCTACTAGACACTCCGCGGCCCCGATGTTTTTCTTTTGTGCTCGCGCCGAATCACCGGCAAACTGGCTGTAATCCAAAAAGCGACGAGCGCCTTTTCCAAACGGTGCGTTTCCGCTCGGGTGGGAGCGCGAACTGGAGCGCGTTGCGCCGGCGATGCCTGTGACGGCGAGCCGCTTGGCTTTTTCGTCGCGCAAGTCGTGTCGCGGACACGTGCGTGAGCTGCGATTCTCGAACGGAATGTCCGGCGGGTCCGCTGCCTTTTTGCCGCGATTTGCCCAATTTGGAGCGTCCGCTGTGCGTCTTGCTTGGCCTGCGCCGCCGTCCCCTTTGACGAGGGTCGCCCTCGAGAGCCGCTTGCCGACGATAAGAAATAAGGCACCTCGTCGCGCCGAGCTCCGCGATTGTCCGACGCGATGATTCAATAACGCTCGGCTCGACTGGGCGTCGCTCATTCGGCCACTTGGCTAGTGCAACAACTTCTCCAACGTTGTTTATTTCGGCGACTACGAGCCGACGCTTCTCCAATCGAGTTATCGAAAGCTTCCAATCAGAAGAGAGGCGCATCTAAGAGAGGGTTATGACGCTTTAATCCGGTTGCGTCGAATTAGCCGCTGTGCCAATTTGTCTCGCTGCCGGAGAGAGTTCAAGAGCTTTCGTGCACGTAACTGGTCTCGCTCCCCCTTTCATCCGTTGTGTCGAGCGATTTGCCTGTTCCGACTTTTTTCTCTCCCCTCGAGTGCTCGTTGAGATCGCGCGGGCGAGTTGTCAATTAATCAAAAAGGCGATCCGACGTATTTTTCAACAACCGAGTAAAAATTGCCTCGTTGCGAGAACAAACGAACGAACCTGCGGCCGCGTGCGGTACGTTGTCGATTCGAGGGAGATAGCAGGTAGCTGTAATTGGACTCGAGACGCACTCGGAAAGCGCCGACCCTCCTTGGGGGCCGGGGGGGACGCGAGCGGACAGTCGTTACCCTCGGCGAGGAACTTCGGCCTCGAGATGTTTTCCCATTGGTCCACGCGAGAAATTAAAGTCGGAATTCGTCGTTGCTTAACTCGACTTGGATTTATCTTGCGTGAGCGAAACCTAATAACCGGCGTCCGCACACGCGCTCAAACGTCGCCGCGGCGCTCCGGGCGTATTTCTCGTGGCCGTGCGCGACAGAAAATCGTAAACACGTGAAACGACGACGGAAAGCACCTAAACAGGAGAAAAGTTCAGGGGGGAGAATAGCCGGCGTACGATCGATTTCTAGCAATCACATAAATCTAACTTGATTCCGGTCGCCACTCCGTAGGCAAGCACGTGTTTCCTTCTTATTTTTCGTTGCAAACTCTCTTTTCCTTTTTGCTGCCTTCTCCTTCGGATCAATTGGCTGCCAAGACTTCATCAAGTTACCGTAGTTCCCGTAAGAGCATCTTTATTTATTTACAGAGCCAGCTCACTCGCGCGGTTTATCTTCGTTTCGCGAATGTACCTTAAGGAACGCCGAGCCCGTCAAGTTTTATTACGCAGAGCCACGGCGGAGCCCGTGGGTTGACTGGCTGACTTCCGCACCCAAAATACATTTCCGACCGAATATTAGCACGATCATACGAACAGTAAAAGAACCATTGCAACAGGCCCATCTCAAAGTTAGGAAGCAAGGAACAAGACTCCACTATTCATCATCTCAAGCCATACGACATAATACATTATATAAGGGATGGGCTCCAAGTTATAAGGCTCGTAAAGCACCTCCCAAGGAAAGAAAACAGCTCGAGTGGGAGTTACAGAGGGAAAGAGAAAGAGAGAGAGAGAGAGAGAGTCTTAATCGAAGTAGAACCTTCCCTTCAGTCCCTTATACGTATATTTAACGATACATTTATTTCCTTCTGGTCTGCAGTCTGCGAGAAAGTCAATAAGTTGGTCACGTGTGCGAGGGGAGGATTGCGACACGAACATAAATTTCAACGTCGGAGTTAAAGAGATTGGCTAATCGATATGAAGAGGAAAAAAGCTTCGAAAGGATTCCTTTGTAAACTGACGTGTCATTCGTGGAAGAATCCTCGGCAAAGTAAAAGAGAGACAGAGAGAGAGAGAGAGACGTCAAGATTGTCGAGCGGCAGAGTCGAAACGTAAGACTGCTGCTGCAACAAGGGACATCCGAGTCGATCATACGCTGATTGCTCATCACGGCAAACGAATTTGCGAGCCACAAAGAATGGCGGCCCTAATGACGCGCGCCTCGCGGCTCTTTATTTCCGCTTTTCAAAATTCGATTGCCGCAAACAATCGGCCGCAATTAAGCCCTCCGCCGGCTACCGAATAATTTAATTAAATTCCCTTCTCCGGCGCTCTCTTCCCTTTCTCCGGGGCGGCCGGCCGAGTCTGGCGCTGTCGCTCGTGGCGAAAGCAAAAAAGTCGCCTTTGCAACAAATAACGTGGGAAATTTATTAACGGACGCGCGCGCACGCGGGCAAACTCGAATGGGCGAGTTTTAATTAGCTAGTGGCGCTGATATAGACCGCGCTGGCGCCCCTTCGCTCTCCATTGAAATGCCATCACGCGGACGGCCCTTGCGAGTGATCGTGTGCGTGCGCGGGGCTCTGGCGCCGGATGTTTTATGGAAAAAACGCTTGGTCTGCAGCGAGACGTCGAAACTCGCTCCCCCGAAGGAAAAGAAGCTAAACCCAGTCGAGCAGCGAAACTCTCCGGTGTAGAGGCTCGGAAAAACTTTTGCCATGCGGGCGCCAAATGAATCACGCGGGCACGCGCGCGGATTTTCCCTCTGCTCGGCGAAGCCCCCTCGTCTCCAGCTCTCTACCCGAGTCGACCCCGTGCAGCCGCGACGCGCGCATCTGTCATCTCGGATCTCCGGAAAGCGAGGCCCGGCCATGATTATTCATTCGGGTCGGGCTGCGCGCAACGTAGTTTCGCCGATCCGTCGCCGGAAGAGGAAAAAAAAAAAACAGAGAGGCCCCGGCGAGCTCTCGGGAGCTTTATTAATCCTCGAGTTGGCCTCCTGTAGCGCGTCGCACGATAATCTCGCGCGACACTCAATTAGGCAGCGCAAAAAGGAGGCCTCGAGCTCGCGGGCGCTAATCCGACTAATGGGTCCGGCGCGCCGGACGACGCGGCCGCGCGTTATCTCGCTCCTAGGCGGTTTTCGTCCATTGTTCGCGCGCAACCAACTCTCGATCCCTTTAATCAAGCCACCGCGGTGCGGCTTCCCATCCTCTCCCCCCCTACGCTCCGGCCTGCCAGATTTCGCCTTTTATTCCGAGGGGACTGATCGCCTCTGTCTTGCCGTGTACTTTGCAGATGCTGCCGACATTGAAGATGCACTCGCGCCTCGCTGATTATCCAGAAGCTACTCGCTCGAAACTTTAGACTGGTGTTTTGCTACTGCTGCTGCTGCTGCTGCTGCGAACGGTAAGCAACTGCAATTCAATTTATAAACTGCGTGATCGGGCGAGAGACGGAAAGAAATTGGGTTGGATGAAAAAAGCTTCCGCAAGTTCCACAATAGAGTCTAATCCACGGGGGGAGAGGCTGAGGATAATCCCTTTGATAGAAGCACGACAAAGCCTCTCGATTAACGAAGGGTCTGCTTCGAGGCCTTGGACGCGCCGATCTTAGCGCTGAGCCACTTGTCCCCCGTCCGCGCGAGAGAGCAATTTACCTCTCACGGTGTCATATCCCGCCGTGGAAAAGAAGAAAATGAAAATTCGTTTGACGCGGGCATCGATCGCGCGAGAATAAAAGGCGAAACAAGCGATTTTAATTGCACACGCGAACGAAAGAAAGAAAAAAATAACCGACATAGCCGACCGAGAAAAAGGAAAAGATGGAACGAGGGCAAAGCATAATCTCCCGTCGCCGTTGGGAAATACGACTGATCGTAAATTTCGCGCGACGGAGTGGAAGGGGTAGCGGCAGTGCCGAGAGCTTTTCTGAAATTTTCTCTCTCTCCAGAGAGAGAGAGAGAAAGAGAGGGAGAAAGACGCGAGTCGTGAATTTCAATGCCAAGGCACGGAGGCCAGGGACTCCAATCATTTTTTAAATATCCTTCCCGGGCCTTCTTCGTCTTTTAACGACGATACTTAAACTCGGAGATTTCCCTTTTCTGCTCTGCCTAATTCGCAAGCTAAAGACGTTTAACGGATCTCCGAGCGTCACCTCTGACTCCCCCCGAGGCTATACGAGGATTAAGGAATGCTAGCTCTGGTTTGACTTTCAGGACAGGCGAGCAGGATGTCGATGACCGGTAGCTTGATGAGCTACGAGAACAACAACGAGGTGTCGAAAGGGACGAAGAAGGGCCTGAAGCCGCTGCCCGTGGTGGCGAGCGTGAATGCGGCTGGCATGACGACAACGACGACGATGAGCGGCGGCAGCAACGGCGCCCTGCCGCGTGCCGCCGCAAAGCCGAGACGCCCGCACGCGGCAAGGTCGTCGAGATCGACGCGATCAGCGGCGCAGTCGCCGTGCGGCCGCGGGCACGTGAACAGCCTGTGGTCCTGCTGGTACGGCATCATCGCAGTCGGCTTCCAGGCCTACATCGCCGTGCGCTGCACCAGGAGATTCATCGGTTAGTCGGCTCGTCAAACTTTTCTCATAAGCCGGGGCGCGCGCGCGCGTCCGCCCGAGGAGCGAGCCCGTAATTGCATTCCGCGCCCGCGCCCCCCTGCCCCTGCGAAGCCCGACTGCCGCTACACGAGCCACGTCCGATCTTGCGCAGCGTACCTGTCGCTGCCGTGGCCGCTGGACGCCCCGCCGCCGAAGCTCGAGCTGCACGCCTGCCTGGTGCTGGCCTGCGCCGGGGTCCTCCTACTGCCCATACTGCTCGCCTCGGCCTGCCTGAAGCTCGGCAATCTCGCCAACGACGGCGTGAAGCTGGGCAGGCACCTGTCGACCTGCAGCCGCGACCCGCCGTCGTCGCTGCTCAACGGCAACACCGAGAACGGTCAGCCTGGCTCGTCCTGCTGTGCACGCCTCCACCGCCGCCCCGCCCCCTCGCTCATTCGGCCTTTGCGTTTCAGGACTGGCGAACAATCTGTGGCGGCACGGCGGCCCGACCTCGGCCTTCGTTCACCTCTGCACGGCCATGTGCTTCCTGCTGCCGTCCCTGCTGATGGAGGCGCGTCTCATCCACGCCGGATTCCTGCCGAAAGGTAGTTTTCGCCTGCACGCCGTGGACGACTTTGTCCATCGGCTCCCCGTCGTTTCTCCGGCCTTTGAAGCTTCGCCACCGCTTTTAGCTCGGCCGCTCGCCGCGAGATGCATAACCATGCTCCTCTTTGACGAAAGTTCTTTTGTTTGCTCGTCGAGAAGACAACAGAGATACGTCGGCTGACGAGCATCCAGCGGATTGCGAGGCTCCCGGCTCGTTAATAGCGTGGCGTCGAGTGCATTCGCCGCGTCGACACTTTGTCCTGATTACGCAAGCCCACGGCGTCAAGTTTGTCGACGCGCGTGGCTCGTTGATCGATCCGTGCGCGAACCAAGGCTTTTGCAGCGCGCCATCCGAGTGTGATTGGTATTTCAAGATCTTTTTTCCGCCGTATTCCGATGAATTTCACTGTTTAATAATTGACGGCGCGGAGCATCCAATATAACGGCGATGGAATGTCGACTGGTATTACGGTGACTACACGACGGTATCTCTAATGGAGTTCAACGGGAAAACGGATTTACTCTCCGGTTCGATCAGTCCAGAAATGAAATTCAATTCGACGGGCAATAAAATAATGTTACTCACGAGCCGACGCTGCGCCGGCCATTAGACTTATTGGTCGCTACTACGAGGGAAAAAGCCTTCTTTCGCTGATTTAATCAGCGAAAGAGAAGAGCATACGAACGGCGAAAAAGAAAGCTTCGTCTTTGACTCGCGAAACTTTGATCAATGGGGAAATTGCGAGCAGCACGCGCGATGAACTTTCGGGCAGGTAAACAGATAGGCGTGTTTGCTCTCTCTCTCTCTCTCTCTCTCTCTCTCTCTCTCTCGCTCTCTCCGTCGTTGCGTCAAAGCTTCGCGCCAGACTCGCGACATTTCGTCAAAGGCGATTATTTGCAAACGCTTTTTCTTCTTTCTCTTCGACTTGAGAATGTTTTTATTGAGGGAACACGAGCAACTCGCGTGGCAAGGGACGAAACTTGAAAAACGCCAGACACGGTCGCGCAGTCGAAGAGTTCAGTAAAGTTCGTATCGTTATCCCCTCGGACTTATGTGCCGGCGTCGCGAGGCCGATGGCAAAGGGAGAAAGTCGATTCAAGGGACGCGACGACCAATTGCCACGGACTTTTGCGCGCGGGCCAACTTTCATCTCGCAAAGCGGGCTTATAGGGGAGGACGAAAAATCCACGAGGAGCAACTTCATAAGCGTTCGCCGTTCGCGAAAAATTGAATGGCGTCGAGAGTCCAGCATGAAAAGCCAGCTTTTTGCGTCGTCGTCGTCGTCGTCATCGTTGAAAACTACCCTCGTATATGAGCGAACGCGCGAGCGAGCAGCCTACCGCTTGGCCTACTTTTTTCGACCAGAGTAATTTCCACTCCAGACCGGGAAAGGCTTTTACGCCCGTGCTCTCCGAAGATTGCTCACGCCCAAATGCAAAAAACAAAAAAAAAAAGTCCCGCGCGCGCCAACCGGTTCGTGGCCTAGAAAAAGAAAAATAGCAGTAGACGCGACGTCGTATCATTTACATTTATGCGTCGTCGGCGTATCAGCCGCCTGTTCAAATATTTATGGGCGTCGACGTAGTCGCGCAAAGCAGCAGGGGAAGAAAAAATCTCGCCGGGCCCGGCTCTGCTTCATGCAAAAAGTTTGTTTTGCGATTAAAAGGCGAAAAAAAAAAAGACAAAGAGCAAGGAAACGAGGGCGGCAGCGTGGTTTTATTTGTCTTGCGCGAGGGAGAGAGAGACTGCGCGCAAAAACAACCCCGCGACATCAAACTTTCTCGCTGCGGTCCACTCCGTTGTCTCTGGCCCCGCCTAACTATCGAAATCAAAGGTTAACTCTGTTGGGGAAAACTACGAAACGCCGGTGAGTAGAGCCAGGCGCGTGAAAAGCCGATTAAAATTGCAGAATCTTGGTCGGTCGCGCGTCGCGTGTGCGTTAGCGTTTGCCGGGCCAATGTCGCGGCTGGACGCTTCGCGCGTATCGATCGCCTGGCTAGAGGTAGGTAGGAGAGCCGCACGAGCCAATTGCGTTTTCATGGCCGTACTCTCTCCTGCGGCTCTTTCCCTTTTAAGCGAAACGAGGATGTAACGCCGGTGCGCTAGTTTTGCGAGCGGCCCGCGATCATTGCGCTGGCCGCTCGCACATTTGCAATGTTGCTTTTTCGCGAGCTTTCCCTCTCCGGTAATTAATGATTCTCTGCTCTCCGACGCGGTTGCCGGCGCGATATTGGCTGACGAGGCCTGCCAGGTAAAAAGTGCGGAGCCAGGGTAAAAAAGTGCGCAATAAGCATGCCTCGGTAATAGAGCCTATTCATTGCGACCGCCGCTCGCTACGAGCGAAGGCTTATCCCGGACATTTAATTTGCCGCCCATCTCCTCGTTATACGCAGCCTCTCGCTCCTTTGTAAAAAGGGAAAAAGAAGTTCGAAACGCGCGCGGCCCCCGCGCGCTCCGAGGGGGAGGGGGCGAGTCGAGTCTGGCCTGCTTGCAGAAAAACAGCTAATCGGGTTTTCAGCGGCAGCTGCGCCTTGCACGTCTGGCTTTTCGGGCCCGCGGACGTGGCAATAAAGGAGGCGAGACAGCGTGGAGCTTGCGCAATGGATATTTGCGGGCAGCGACCGCAGACGTTTGGTCGCTGCTGCCCCAAAAGAGATTGAAAACAGAAAGCGGGGAGCCGACTATGGCGCGCGCGATATTTATCGTTCCTCGCTGCTATTCTCAATGGCTGCAGCGCGCCCGTCCAACTTGCCGAGCGTCGCGGCCAATAAATTTGCCATCTCTCTCGCCTCGAGGCATCCATCTTGCGGGCACTATCGACAGGTTGCTCGGGCGAGAACAAAAGCTCATTGTCGCACGCACCGTGCCAGCTCGGCCGCGATGATTCATTAGAAGGCTAACCGAAGTGGGCGCGCTCGACAGATAATAACGAGCGTCTCGTCGCTGGCCAGAGCAATCCGCCGATAGAGAATGCGGTTCAACGATGAGCGCGGAAAATCGCCAGTCCGAGTGGCGATTCCCGGACGCGGCCTTCGACATTGTCGACGTCAAACAACTGGGCTCGCGAATGTTGTCCCCTCTGCGGCGCTGCGTCGGACGGCCGAGGCCGCAGTCTGCCAGGAGAACAACGCCGTGGAGGCTGGCTCGGCTGCAGGCCGTACACGCGACATCGTGCAATAACCGTGTTTTCCCCGTCCGGCTGCGACGAGCAGCGAGCTCTCCTGTTTAATTGAACCGCGCATCGTCCTTTTTGCTGTCTTGTAGAGGCCATCTGGCGCACTGACCTGGACTGGGTGCTCACGCATCGCGAGAGACTCGTAATGCTGAGCTTCATGAACATACCCGAGAATGCCAGTCTGGCGCTGGCTAATCAACCCGTCGGTGGTCACCAGTCGTTCGCCGACGACCAACTCGACGATATCACCAACGCGACCAGCTACGGGGATGCGCAACCAACCAAATTGTCAACGGTATTGCTACCTTCGACGATGACCAATGCAAGGAGGAACGATGATAGCGATGCCGATTACAAGTGAGCCGAACGAATTTATTATTACGGCCATTGTCGACGATCACATTGATTGTCGATCTAATCAAGGAGATTAATTGACCGATGACGATACTCAACTATAATGATCGCGTTTCAAACAGCTACTTGGACGCAGCGTCGTCGTTTACCAGCCCATCGTCGCCTTCGTCGTCGCGTCGACCGGGTCAACGAATGCAAGCGCGTAATATCCAGAATCGCCAGCGTGCAAAATCCAAGAAGAACTCGGCCATAGCGAGGGCGCGTTCGACACCCACGCCCTATGGAAATATGACTGCTCTGAGCCTGCCACTGACGTTCACTAGTTTGGAGGACCTCGATCATCCGGAATATCTTAATCAAGAAATTGACGAGTCCGAGGATGATTACGGACCTGTCACACTCGAGTATCTGAATTACGCGATGGCGCTGGGCGTCTACTCAGTCAGATATCCAGCTGTGTTTTGGGCAAGCAACAAAGCACTGGGCACGATTTTTAGTATTCAGCTGGTATTCAATAGCTTGCAGAGTTTGCTTTCTTACGCTGGGATGTCTGTGCTATACAAGGTGAGTCTCGCTCTCGTCAACAAGTTCGCTAAGTTCACTCGGCAAGAGGAGCATTGCTAAAAATGCTTGCGGCTGTAGGTTCAAGTGGTCGGACCATTGAAAGTGCTGCCTCTGCTGCGCCACCGTAGCTTCACCACGGCCAGAACGTTGTCCAATTTATTCGGCGATCGTTTCTTCCTGCTTAACCCGCACATCACGCTGGGCATCTTCGCGTTATCGTCTCTCCTCGTGCTCTGCTCGAGCATGGTGATGTACCTCTACGCTTACGGCCGCTTCGTTGGTTTCCTCAGTCAAGAACGCGAGCGAAGGGTGATTTTGCCAAAAGGAGCAGCAAGCAACGACGCTGGTTGGACGTACATGACGCATCCGGCGGCCCTCTGCCTCTTCCTCGCTCTCGCCATTTGTAATGCACCCCTGCTCTACGACTACACTGTCGTGTACAGAGGCAGTCTAGATGGAGCCGTACTTGCCTGTGCGATTGGCACGATTTTCCACCTGGGCGTATGGCTTGTAATATGGATAGGCTTGGCAATCAAGAAGCGATGGGTTTTCAAGCTTAGAGTTACTATTGGTAGGGCGACTGTCAGGAGCGCAAGATCGGTGAAACTTGTCACCGACGTGGATTTGATGAACGGAAGAGACGACGAAGATGGCACTGCTGCGCCGTTGCTGGTTGTCGGCAATGGCAGGACTTATACTGTGGCTGAAACTAGTCCAAAGAAGGCTATTATGAGCGTCATTCAAAAGGCTGCTATGGAGCGGAAGGCCAGGTCGCAAGGTTCGTTTTTTCAATTGATCTTTTCATTTACGACTGCTATTTATTCGCCCACTCTCCTCATTGCTTCCTGAACACCAAGCGCCCGGTGCTCCCTCTCCTCACAGCCTGTTTCTATGTGCGCGCGTGCGTCTTTTCACCTCTACCTGGTTGAACGGCTTGTGTAGCTTTGTTACCGGACGACATGAATTTCCGCGTGCGTGCTGCCATCTTGAAAGACTTCGCCGTGACACTTCCAATCAACAGGTCGATTCTTTTGCTTTTTTTTTGGTCCTTCGAATTCATTAGATTTTTATCGAGCGACGCTTTTCATTACTCTTTCGACCAGATTTTCATGGTTTTCAGAAACTTTCGTTTCTTTACCTTCTTTCTTCCTTGTCATGTCGCAGACCTGCGTCGTCTTTTTCATTTGCACTTCTTGCAAAGCCGCTGCCTATTGCGCTCATTTTGTGCAAGATTGCTGCTAAAGTTGATAGCGATGTGCATTCTACGCACTTAAGTCCTTCTTTAGAGGACATCATATTAAGTTCGGCTTGGCGAGAAAAAGTTCTCGAGCTTGCGGACAAAAACAGCGTCCCGTCTCTCCCTGGTACTCCAGAAAACCTAACCATTTTTCCCGATTTCTACAAGTATTGCTGTGTGGCGAAATGCGGGATTTTAAAGCACATTACCCGATGTTAACGTGGGAGCATACACAGAAAAAAAACAATGGATGTGTTGAACAAACCGAGAAATCTTTATTAACCTAACTGACAAAATTATCGTATGTTTTATACAAGAGTTATGCACGCAGTAGCGAGAGCGTGGGATGATATGCAGAGTCACCCAGCGGCGTGATTCATGTGCCCAAGGGTCCTGCGCGTGGAGATATTACCGTGACTCTGAAAACAACGGTTTATATCCTATTTTGACAAAGAATATAAAAATTATAAGAAAGATATTTTATTTTAATCCATCAGTAATTTTTTTATTAATAGCGAGTTGAACATAAGTAGGACTCTTTTCCCACGCGGGATCTTCGTCGAACTAACTTTGAGCTAAAGGACCTCTTAATAACTTTGTTGCAAAATGCTCTACTCTACTTAAGGAGAGTGAAAATTATATCTTAATTAGCTTTGTCTGTAACTGTAGGGGTACTTTCCATTAAAATGGTCAAAATACATGACCTTTGCTAGCTATAGGTTTTGAATGGAACATTGTGGAATTTTTAAATACTATAAAAGAAAGCTAAGAATGAATTCTTTTGATACAAAAATTTGGAAAAAATCTAATAGTTTCAAAAGTTATTTTTCAGTACAGTTTTATTAAAACAAAAAGTCAATTTTTAAAAATGTTATTCGCGAATGTCAGTACCATATAACTTTTGACCGCTCCAACTTTTGCAACGAGATTTTTTAAAGGATGCGAAAATAAATTTTCCACGCATGCGCGAAAGAGAAACATTCCAAAATATGAAACGTAATGAAAAACGTCTTGCTTAAAATAGAGCTGAGCCTAGGGTATAATTTTAAGATAAAAATCACATCTTTGACCCTAACAAAAACCTAATTATACAAACAGGTGCCCTTGAGGTCATGTAAGATCGACGAGCGAGCGCAGGAGAGAACTTTTCTTTCTCGCCCTCTCTCTCTCTCTCCTCCGTTCATCCTTCTCCTTTCCCCTTTCGTTCGCTCTGTTTTTACTCGTTCCTCCTTCTGCAATCACACTCATCGCACACTTTTTTTCGTTCACCCTTCTGATGACTCTCTTGCTCTCTCACTAATAGTCGCTGAGAGAAGGCGGGATTTAATACCGTCCTCTTACGATCACCTAAAGAACTATTAATAAAATAATAATTTAGGTTTGCCAGATCACAAGGTTCTTTTTTTCCAGTTGATCTTTTGAGACCGATGGTGACGTCACGCCAATGCGGACTCGTCTTTCTCGTCTATTATGTTTACCGTGGATGTCTATTTGCGTCTTGTTCTTTACGAGGATAAAGATTTCCGCGTTGACTTTGTTGCTTTTGATCGCGGCAGTATCTCTTGGAAAAGTCTATCGAAAGAGCGAATTGAAAAATAGATGGAGACTAAAAAACGCAGCGTCAATTTGCAACCTGTTGAATTCTAACAGATTATCGAACGCTGCGCGGCTATTCGAAAATAAACCGTAAACTGCTACTTATATTACATAAAAACGTCGATTAGCACTACTGTAGCAATAATTATTGTTGGGTTATATCCCGTATAAGTTATAGTACCTTCGGAAATACAGAAATCAAATATTTATAAAAATTACAAATGAGAAAAATGTCAATTAACCTATTTTGGCTAAATAATTATTTGATAAAAAAATCAATAGTGCAAAAAGGATGAATATATAATGCCTTCTCTGTTGAATATATTGTTCATTTGGCTATACAAGAAATTTCTCACGCACTTTAGGCGCGAGCTTCATTTGCAATTCCGTAGTCTCTGCGTTCTGGTCAACGTTTATTGCAACTGAGAAGTTTTGCATTCTGGACAATAAAAAGTAAGATCGGTCGGATAGTCCATTTTTTTTCATTTTATTTACAATGGTAAATCAAATCTACTGAGCTTGTTTTGTTATGCTTACTTTTAATTAAAAATTAGACTTAATGTTTTGTTTGAATACGGACTCATAGCTCTGGTTTATTCTTCTTACCATCAGTCATTTTATTAATTATAATTAAAAACGTACTAAAAGAATTGGCTTAAAAGAGAATATTTTCTGAGATTCGGACGTGAAATTTGTTTCGGAGTATCGCTTCCTCGATTTGCTTTGACACTTTCTTACTCGATTGGTTTCGCAGGCAATGGAATAGATTCGATGGACGGCGATTCGACGGCTGACGGCGACGAGCAAATTTACTGGTTGAGGCCAAAGTTGCGGGCGTCGCCCATGCAAGCGGCTGGCAATGCAACCGGTCAAGGAGCTGGCGACAAAAGCTGGCTCAATAAGAAACTCAAGCAGAAGGTGACCTTCAACGACCTGCCGAGTACTTCGGGCTCGCGGTAACTACTAATTAACACTCATCCTTTATTGCTGTGTCGCGTTGTGTCTGTCTCCTTTTTTTACCCTCGTTGTCTCGCTGCAAAATCAAGCTGCTAATTTATTCAAGAAATATCAATTGGTCAATTTATCTTTCTTTCATAGCCACGATATTTCTTTTATAATCTAGCGTGTATACAATATATATCATCGACGTCTTCATTATTATTTATGTAACTGCACTTTTTAACTTTCCATTCTGTACTAGTAATGCATTCATTGTTTTGTATCTAGTCTCGTTGTATCGATAAGCTCATTAGATAGTTAAATTACAGAGTTTTATCAGAAACAAGTGCCTTACCAAAAAAAAAAAAAAAAAAGAGAAAAGAAAAGAAGTTCTTGACGGTAAAAGTAGTTTGTTTACGTAAATTTATTGTAAGTTGAGGAAGAAAATTTTTTCTTAGCAATAATCATATGCTTGGTAGCCGTATATAACTAGTTTATAAGTGAGAACTCGTAATTAATAAAGTATTATAAATTCAAATATATACAGCGTCGCAGAGCCGCAACATCAGTGTACTCAAGCGTAATTCCATTTGTCATATACTTGCGCGCCGTCTGGCCGAGACGACGAAACTCCTCTCCGCAAACTTTGCCTGCCAAGCAAGCCTCGCCCGTGTGCCATTAACATCCCCAGTTTCTCCACCTCCCGCCGAACCAAATCGAATTTCCCATTCAAGTCGATTTCCAATCTCCTCCGTCTCTTCCTTGTCGTCTTGCTTCGCGTCATCTAAACTTATTGAATAATATTCCTTACCCTCGGTTTCATCTCGCTTACCGTGTGCAAGCCTTAATTGATGCGCTTTCCTCATTTTTTTTTTCACTTCGTCAGCGCGCGCGCGCGCGCGTGTGTCTGTGCCTGTGTCATGCGAACTTCGCGTGTGTGTTTTTATGTAGGCTTCGTTCCACGCTGCACGCAAGTTTGTTCTTTGTAAAATTATTCAATAAAATCATTTGTCACTCGAAAATCACCTTCTGTTTTGTTCATTGTAGTTTAGTAGACGTGCACTGCACTCGATTACCTTATTCCATTCTTCGCAAGTTGTGTTCATAAAAAAATCACCTTGTCAAAAAATATATCAAGCACGCTTCAATGTCCGTGGGGCCCTGCCTATGTGTCTCGTAGCAAGAAACATACGTAACAAGACACCACTAAAACGATATCTTCGTCTTTGATGTTCAGTAATAAAGGCAAAGCTAGACGAGACGGTGGACCCGAGGACGACGGAGACTATGCGACACTGCGCGAACTTCCATTGGCCCACGATCTCGCTGACGACTCAACTTCCGAGGAGAATAAAGTGAGTATACTACAAATCGCTATCCCCGTACTTCAAACTTGCCAAATTCATACTAACAATTATATTTGCACTTTTTGTCCAAGTGAATTCAGTCAGATTGTAAGACAATTGTAAACAATTAAAAACTTCGCTTCTTAATATTACTGCACACTTATGATTTACTTCTTTGTTTTCTTCTTGTTTTTTCTTACAACTTCTAGCCTTGGGGAGGATGGCTGTCGCCTCGTAGGGACAATATTCCAAGATTCACGGATGTAAGCGGAGCACGCTAATTTATTTGTTAGAAAACGCTTTAGACGCAATAATTTTACTAACAGCTGGCTGTAGGCTTTTCGTTGCCATTTTCATCGCCAATTAACCACCATTTGCTTTGCTTTGGTTTTCTATGAGAATGCATGAGTCGATTATTTTCACCTGCGTATTTTTCGGGCAGTCACGGAAGTCATCGATCAGTCACCGAGCATGAATCATCATCGACCGTCGTATACGACGAAAACATAAAATACCATTCAACATAGCGAAGTGTATTTGCCATCTTATTAATCGTCGTGTCATTGCTAATCACTAATTCAGCAGAAAGTTGTTTCCTTGTGAAAGAGAAACAATTGGAAGTGAGATTGCAAAAACAATAACGAATTGCTTTTCTCTATTCCAACGTTCGCCTCGCGTCTATCGTTGTAACGATCCCCAGTCGTAATTAACAAAACAAACCTCGCAGTTGCTGGAATGCGTGAACGACGACCAAGTAACGTACTACGCGAGTGGGCACCGCGACCTGCAACCTTCCGAGGACGAGCCGTCATCACTGTTGAGTCCCGAGCCACCACCACCGCCACCGCCGACGACAAGCGCGATTGTCACGAACGAAGGTCCGAATGGCTTACCTCTGCCACCGCCCGATCCCAGTATAAGCATTCAGGAGAACGTGCAAGCCGTAAATTCTCAGGTTAGTGTGCATTTGAGCGGTCGGTGGTGACGTTCCAGTCGATGAACGTTCTCGCTCCCGTCGCTTCGCCAATTCTCCGAAAACAACGGAAATCGTTCGCGTTCGCGTGACTGTCGGCTAAGAGCGATGCCAAATTGAGGCATTGCAAGTGGTTGTGCCGGCCGAGCTGACGCTGAGACACGTCGAGCAGGTGCCCAGCGACGCGCAAACGCCACGCTGCCTGCGTCGCGGCGATTCGGGTATGCCGCACGAGGAACTGACGCCGCGCTCGGACTCGTCACACTCGCCACCTCTGGATCCAAATAGTGCCCACCTAAATGGCGGCGCAAGCAACAACAGCACGAGCAGCAACAGCGAGACCTCGTCCTCGGGAGTGCACAGCACCGCGAGCTCGCAGCGTCGCGCGACCTCCGTGGAAGATCTGACCAACGAGCCTCGCGAAGAGCCACAGTGGCGCAGCTGTAGTCTGCAGAGAGGAACGGCACCGCCGACCTCCAGCAGCGGCAAGTATCCACCGAGCAATCCCGGCAGAGTCATCACCAATCCCACGGCCAACTACGCCAACAGCGCCTCTTACGCGGTCTACAACGGTTGCACCACAGAGACCGTGGTCGCTGGCTGCCAAGCCGTCATTCTAGAGAACCCCAACGAAGCCACAGTCGTCATCAGACGCAAGAACTCGAGAACGAAACTGCAGGAGCCGCCGCTGTTGAGCGAGGAACCCTTCGGCAGGTCGACCAACATGAGAATGACTTCGTTCACGGAGAACAGTGACCTCAGGAGCATGCAATCCTCTTCGGCTACGCTGCCGCATTATCCTACCCAGCCGGTGGTTACCTACCCGCATTGTTCGACCATGCCCTTACCACACGCTAGTCATAATATCCAGGCGGGCAGTAGCATGAGCGGATCCAGCGGTAGCTGCGGTTCCGTTCCAAGACATCCAGGTAATTATACCTCATTAGGAATTGTTCCAAATTTATTTCAGACGTTTTTCTTCTATCCTGCCTGATGAAAACTGGCCAATGACTTTTTCTTGTAGCGCACTGACAGAAAGTTTAGGGTGACGTTGCTTTACCAGAACATTTATACGATTTCGGTTCCTCTTTCAAAATGTCGATTTTATAAACTTTACGCGATACCAGACTGAAGGAGAACTTTCTTAAAAAGACGTCGGTATTGCGAAAAAAATCCATTTTTTACCTCTATGCAAAACTCGTAGATTGTAAGGTTAAATCACGATTTTTCCTTTTTACATATTTTGTTTGATTTGAACTTTTTATTATCTACGTGATGATGGCATAACTTCTCGCAGTAACCAAAAAAAGTATTTTCAATTATATTTTATCATTCAGAAGTAGTTCCTGAGGATCCTGAAGAAGATATTGAGGATAGTTCTGAAAAGAATTCTATAAAAAGTCCTGGCAAGGAAAGTCTTAAAAAAGATTCCATGAAAAGTCCAGAGATACATCCGGAGAAGAATCCTGTAAAGAGTCTTGAAAAAAGATCTAAAAAGGATTGCGTAAAAAGTCCGGAAAATGATACTGAGAAGTATACTTTAAAAAGTCCTGATAAACACTCTGAACAGGATTTCATAAAAAGTTCAGAACAAGATCCTGCAAAGAATCTCGAAATAAGTCTCGAAAACGAATCCAAAAGAAGCCCCGAAAAGGATCTTGAAAAAGATCTTGCGAAGGATCCTGAGGAAAATCCTGAACAAGGTACTAAAGAGGAATTGAAAGAAAATGATTCTAAGGAAACTCCTAATGAGAATTCTGAAGAAACTCCTAAGGAGGATTCAGATCCTCCGGTACGTTTTTACAACGTAGAAGCAATTTTGATTCGCATGCCCAGATCATTCGAATCATAAAAACCAACAGCTCAGAAATCAAGAATATACTTTTGTAACTTTTTTTTTGTCATAGCCATCATCGTCATAAACCATAATCGAGTGTTTAGAAGTCTAGCTTAAAAATCACTATCGTTCAGAAAGGAATACAATCACTGACTCGAGTTTTCATAGAATAGAGTATAGAAAAGCTATAGAAAAAAAATATGTAGATGAAAGATAGCTACCCTACACTGCTATAAATAAGAGGAACGACGACACGCCACGCTATAGACTATCATAGCAAAATAACAATTCAATCCTACATTTACAGTGTTTTCGAATATTATAAGCATGATATCAATGTCTTTCTACTCACTTTGTGATGCTTTTATGTCATTTTTCAACTAGAGTTTCATAAATATTTACGTTGCACTGGATAATATGTCAGGGATTTTCAAATAACGATCATATCTCCAGTGTAACGTCTAAATGATATCTATCACACGCTCGAAAATCAATTGTTCTGGTTCGCCAACAGGCCACGTAAACCAACAACAACAGCAGCAGCAGCCATCGTCGTCAGTTCACGGCAGCGTTCCGTCGCATACAACGTTACCGTCACACCACAATGGAGTAAGGCTGATGCTTCACGGCGGGCCGAATCCATTCGTCAAGCGCTTCCCACCGATGAATGCAGCGGCCCATCAGCCTTGGCCGGCTGTGCTACCCAATGCTGGACTTCATCATCATACTTTTCCACAAGCGCCGCTCGTCAATGGTAAATTGAGACACTCCGATCGCGATTCCGCCAATTTTTCCATGGCCAGTAGCGGCGATTCGGACACGTGCTTGCCGCATTAAGTTGCATGGTGAGGGCTTTTTTTGACTGTTAACGGTCTGATGTTCTGTTTGTTCGTTTGGTTCTAACTACTCGACGATAAGTATTCTATGCCAATACCAATGAACTGCATGTATATTGGAAAACGTTGAATTTATGATTGTGACAGTCCACGTTTTAACAATTCAGTTGTTTGAAATTTTGAAATCATCTGAGTTATTGTTACTCTACCTCGATCACTTTTATTTGTTTGATCGGTGCTCGGTATAAAAATATTGTTCTTCAAACAAGCAATGACCGTTAACTGTCGAAGCAAACTATTGGAAATATAATTTTCAGTACTATTGCACTTGGATGTCGATGCAATAACAATTTATCAAAAATTGCATTTATAAGATGAAGGGAAACTAATATATCATTGTACAGCGCTGATTGTTGCGCTGAAAAACGTGGTGTTCCTCTGCGTATATCTACAAATATTCTTCACGAGATCGTCTTTACGTCGCGATCTCAGCTTTAGAATAAATAAAAAATAATCGTTTTTTTCGCGATGATTCAACGGCACTTTGCAGCGACGAGGGATTTGAGACTTTTCAAAAAATAATAGTAATAATAATAATAATAGTAATAACAATAAACTTTCAAGCAATTATATATGTAAAGAGAAGACTTGACATCAGCAAAACAAACAAAAGTAAACACAACATATCGAATATTATACACGTACGCGAATAAAAAATGAGCTTTTTACTTGTGTTTTTTGATGCAATATATAAATGCTCTTTGCTTCAAACACATATCTCGTGGTCACTATTGTGAAAGCGCTTTCTCTTCTCTATTGAGAAAGAAAACTGTCGATGACTCGTTGAAAAAATACAAAACACATCGCGCTGCCGATAATTCTCTTCATAGTTCTATATTCAATACTCGTATTCGCCGCGAGGGGCAGATGTCGAGAGTCAAGAAAAAAACAAATATATAAACGCAATTGTTGTGTATCGCTCTCCTATAAGGTTCGTGCATAGAGAATTGACGCATCGCGAGCTTTTGTGGGACGATTGAGTTCGCAAGCGTCGGATAGATAAAAAGTAGGCTAAGGTGTTGAGTCGATAAAAGTTTTTTACGTATATAGCAAGAGAGGGAAAAAAGCTTTTTCTATGAATGAATAAATCACTGTATATTCCGTTGCGATGAAAAAAAAGACATATGTATATTGCCATCGAGCACCAATTTGTTTGTAATGTTAAGAGTAATTTTATCTGTATATATAAAAATCCTTGGTTGCGTCTTTACTCAACACGACAAAGAAGTGGCAGATTCGCGTCTGTGTTCTCGCTTTTAAGATTGTATGTGTTATAGTTTCCACTTCTGCATTGAACTCACCGTTATTATTCGAAGCATCGACCGTCATTGTTTGTGTACAGGAGCGTAGATTTTTTTATCAATCTTAACTGCCATTCGTTGAAGGATCTCTCCGCACCATCGTATTATTAGCCTTTGTAAATAAAAAGTGCACTTGTGATATATAAGCCAGCACGAGTGAAAAGCCAAGAAACAACCTACCGGATGCTTTTTTGAAAATAGCTTATATATCTACACGAAGCTGTAATCACCATTTGGATCGCAAACCAAAACAGAAGTGGTATTTTACCTATATAGATTCATATTGCATGTTACCGGAGAACTCTCATATTCTTTATATTCATGTACGCGCGAGCGTCGTCGAGTCGCTCTAGTTGCGCTACCTTTTCGCGCAACGCGCGCTCCTGCATTCTCTCTTTCCGGCGAGTCGGTAGCGCGTCAAGAGCCTCGGGGATAATGAATGTTCTGTAAGCGTAATCCCCTCCTCTCCCCCTACGTACCCACCTACCCTCAAGTAATACTCACGAGTACGACCAATTCGTAGATGAAATCGCGAGCGGCAGCACGGAGCTACTTAGTCGAGACAGAAAATAGAATGCCGATCGTACATATCAGCGAAAATAAATAAACGGACCAGCCTCGAAGCGTAGAGAAAACCTAGAAAGTATGCGAACCCAGTACCTAAAGGAAAGTCAGGGGATTTGACCTTAGAAGACAAACAAACGATATGAAAACGCGACAATAGAAGTATTGAAAACGCCTACCTCGGTGAATCGAGCGTACCTTTTATCATCCTCATCCTCATCGTCATTGTTCATCGTCATCGTACAACGTAGCCTCGGCTAAGGGAATAAAGCTTGACACATTGACGGTTATAGAGTAGAGCTTTTGCGTTGGTCAGGTTAAGCACAATAAAATGCAGAAAAAGTAGTCGCGAGAGAGATAATGAAAGAGATAAGCGAAGCTATCTTTTTTCGAGGACCTATTTTTTTACCATCTAGAAAAAAAAGAAACTCAATCTTTCTATCCGGATCTTTAGGAAAGCGGGTAAATGTTCGAGGCATCAATGTAGACTCACTGTTCTTTCTCCCTCTTCTTTTTAACACGTACCATTTCTCGGAATCACGAAGCAAAGATAACGTTCGTCACTGGAAATTGCAACATGGTCGTAAGTTCGACATTATGCTTTTGTTTGCCTTTTTTTGCCTTAGAAATGAATAGTCACGAGAGAAAATAGTTTCGAGTGGCGAAAGTTGTCGCAAGAAGACTGTCCTTTGGTATATCTTATTCTATTTTATTTTACACGTGAAAGAAAAAGAATGAAACCCAAAAGCAAGAAAAGTAGCGTAGTAGCCGTTCAAAGCAGAAATAATCACTATTTAAAACAAATGCTTCACGCGATCGTCAGTCAAATGCGTCGTTACTTATAAACTTCGTTGAGCACTGTAAATAACGTCGAAAGACAACAGAAAATTCGGAAAAAAATGATGCTAATTGTAAGATTATTGTATAAAGACTGATTAGACTAGCATCGGTTTATCATTGGACATTATTTCGGCTGCACCGATGGCTGGCAAACAAAGACACAAAGTTCGTTCGAAGCACTTCGAATGCATTGTCTGATAATTTTTATATGTTTCTATTCGTATACAATTGTATTGTAGTTTTTACTTGTTTGCGACGAAGCTAGTCGACACGCCATAATTTCGGTCAAAATGACGTTTAAAATCAAAGCATTTTTTCAGTCACTTTAATCACCGATCTAAGTTTTTACAATTCTAAATTAGTTTAAGGATTTTGGGCAATAATTTCGAAAAAAAACTTGAAAATGAAAAAAAAACAGCTAAGGATGTTTGAACTATCGTTTTTCGAGGCATAGAAAAAATAAAAAAAAAACTAAAATACAATGTAATCAGCGCAGTTGTAACGAAGCGGCACTATTATCGTGACACAACGTCGTATCAATATTATTTCAAGATTGTACTAAGCCATTGAAAAACTAAGTGTAAACTTTGTATATTCATTTACCAAGAAAATAAAGTTAAATTATTCAAAAATTTGCTTCTGCTCATTGCTTATTGTCCCGTGTGATTCTTATTGCAACAGTCGACGATAATAAAAATCAAAAGTAATTGAATATTGACCTAAAAATGAAAAAGGAAATGGCTTATAGTGATCGCAAGCCGTGTAATCATTAGATACCATGGCGTCGAGTTTCGACCGATCAATGCGTCTGGACGAAAGCAATTAGTGTTGTCTAGCAGCATGAAGGAGATAACAAGAAGCAAAGAGTCGACAAATTTTGTCCTCTCGACCTTTCTCCGATTTCTCTGCCAATTTTGTTCGTTTATCGTCTATTTTCAGCAAGCGACATTACAGTTGTCATTCGGAGATAACGTTGCATCCAGCTCGCAGCAGCGACTCCATCCTCGGCGAAAAATATCGAAGAACACGTCGCCGCCTCTTCAGCGGCAGCGGCATGAAATTCAATTACATAGCCGTGAGTCTGGCAGTTTCCTTCCGCAATTAGCGTGGCTGCCGGCATTGTATCGGCAACGAGATGCACATTTTTGTACTGGCGACGAGTAATTAGGATGCCAGGAGAGCCGAGTCTGTCTATTATTTGGCGCGCACGTCACGTATCACTCATTCGAATGAATAAGCGATGCCAAAGTTTTGCGAGGCGGGGGAGCCGACACTCGGCGCGCGCGCGTGTGTGCGCTGTGTACACACGAGCTAATGTCTCGGAGGGGTCGCCGTCGAGTGCGCACGCATACATTTGCATAAGGGTTTGCTCGCGGATGGCAACGAAATTGAGGCGCTTTGCCGATGCGCGGAATTTCGCGGCGCGTTTGCCTCGGCAATTGTCGACATTCGCTCGCGGCTCGGGAGTGCGATTTTCAGTGTTTTTTCAATCCCGATCGCCAAACCGGAACGACATGCCTATCGAGCGACTGATCCCCGTCGTGCATCGTCGTTTTATCTCGTCGGCATAATCAAGGCGAATCATTGCCGCTGCAATACGGCCGTGAGGCTTAATTAGCGCGCTTCTCGGCCAATTTCTCTTTCGCCCAGGTGCACACGGGGCCAATCAATTACAGCTGTATCATTCTCAGGAAAGCTCTCGAGCAGAGATGCCGTTTGTCGCTGAGCTTATGCCCGACGGCTGCGATCGTGCCAGCGAATATCAATTCGAAGGAAGCAGCGCGTTGCGCGAGAGAAGAGCAAGCGAACGCGGAGCTCGACCGAACATCTGATCAATTTTGCTGCGGCCAGGGTCGCCTCGAACGCTCGGAAGCCGCGGGCAAACAAAAACTGACCAAAAATGGAGAGTCCTCGCTTCAACCAAGTACGTCCGATCTGATTTAAAACTGGTCGCCACGCGCAAACAATGGCGTTTTTTCCTTTCATTTTCTGCCTCGACAAACATTTTCCCAAGCCATTATTCAAACTCAGCGCGAGAGAGCGGTAACTGCGCTCGGCACTCGTGTTATTTCAGAGCGAGTTTGAGGAAGCGTTATTTCAGCGGAAAGCTCGCGACCATTAGCAAGAGCTTTTCTTCCTAACCGACGGCACTTGGAAAAAGAGTATTAGCGAATATAAAGAGGACTGTCTCTCTCCTTGGCAGGCACAGTGCCAACCGTAAGGCTGCCTTATCCGGTCTGTTTACGCCAAAAATTATTTGCAGCGCTCTTCGGCCCCCTCGAAGGGCAGATGCCAAGGGCGCGGCGCGGCGCGAAAGCGCAAGGGCTCGGGTCGGTCGGCGATGCGAACAGCCGCATCCAGGACATTAATTTGAGGGGCTCGCGGGGCAGATTCTATTATGCATGTATCCGCGCGCTCGATGCTTCCTTCGGTCTCCGCGAACGTAGCGGCGTGCGCCTGTTCATCCCCCCGATTGCTCGGCCGTCGGGCGCCGCCAGCTATTTTCGTTTCTGGATGGGAAAGCTGCTGGGCGTTCGCTCGGCACGCCAAAATAATAGGCGCGCTCGAGCTTTCAAGTGGCAAATCTATAACGCGAGGACGCTGTGCCTCTTTTTCGGCGGGGCTGTGGGCTCTCGAAAGGCTCGAGTCCTTTTAAGAAAGCTTTCGTCGACGCGTCGCCGAGTTGGGTTGACAATCTTGTCGCTCTCCGATCGCGCGTCGCCCATAAGGAGGACGCACGCGTACGCGTCTCGCGCAGCTAATCGCAGTCGCGGCTATCGACTCGCCGAGCGTCTTATTTTAGAATGTTGGTTTGGCTCGCAACTGCGAGGACCGCGCAAACGTTGACAGCGATGTAACTGGGAGACTATTTCCGTTGGCGCGGGTCAACGCACTCCGTCGTCCTCGCGGTGGTGGTCGATTGGTTCGATAAAGGTGAGGGCGCCGGTGCGTCAAGCTGTCGACGCGTCGCTGTCCGCCGGCCGTCGTCGCGGCGAGTCTCGTTCGGGCCCTCGTCGTGGTCGGCGTGACGAGCAGCGGATCGAGGTTGTTTCGTATTTGCGGAGCGTCGAGCGGCGATCCGGTAGCCGTCGTCGAGCCAACGCGAAAATCCAGCATCGCAGTTTTGGAGCCGCGGCATTCCGGAGCTGACCGCACAGGCGCAAAACTTCGCGTCCGTTACGTCTGAGCCGCTCGAACTCTCGGCAACAAAAGAGCACGGCGGGCGCGACGTAATGGAAACGCGCGGCGCGTTGAAAAGTCGAGTGCATTACGGATTACGGGCGCGGAATCCAATACACGGCACTCGTTGTCAATCGCGCGGAAGCATTGGAAATACGCCAGTGGGAAGCTGCGCTCGGTCCATATTGACAAAGATTTCCATTCGGAAGGCTCGGCTGCGCGCCGAGGAAATCGATTTTCTGCCGCTGCCGGCTTAATTGTGAGAGTTGCAACGCCCCGAGACAATTGACTCGCCGGGACGAGGTGCACGACCCGCTTTTCCAGCGGCAACGGAAAAATCCGCCGCGCGCTCGTCCTCCTCGATACGTTATACGTGCCCCGGCGCTCCGAGTTCAACGGCACGGAAACTGCGGAGGCTCTCTCGAGATTAACCGTGGCTGCGAGGCGCGCCGAGCGCTCGTAAATCCGATGCCGCGCGCCGCGGAAGTGCGTCCGCTGTTGCGCTAATGAAATCGTCGAGTTGGCGCCGCGACCCGCGAATCGATCGATCGGTGACTCGAGTCGCGCGCCGATTCCGTCGACGTTTTGTGCCCGAAAGCCCGCGTGCCCCGGGCCGACGATCGACCCGCTCGCAGCCACTTTCTTGCCCGAGGGCAAGCGACCAAGACGGCTAATTAGGCTCGGACAAGGCGCCGGCATTAATCGAGGATAAAGTTGGCTTCAACGGGGTTACTACGTCCGTGGCCTGGCAACTTTTCGCTCGGCCCAAGTTTGCCGTCTAATAAAAACTTGCCGACGACGCTCTGGCGAATTATATTTTAATTCGAGCTGGGCGGCCGCCTTCTCGGTGATCGAACGGCCGGCCAGCCGTGTGTGCACGATCGAGTCTAATTGGACGAGACACTCCGGAGTGCGACTCGCCAAGTTGGCCCGTGCCTAGATTTTCCCTCGAGGAAGGTGGCCGCGAGGACCCTTCCCGCGGCCAACTTTATCTCCGAAACTGCGCCGAGTTTTGCTAGCTTTGCGGTATACTCGGAATGCTTTTTTTCTCGCGCGAAAGCCAGCAAGCGCGACCGATAAACTCCGTCGCGAACTGCCACGCTGGCCGGCGAAACGAGTTTAATCAGCGTCTGAAAACAAGCAAACACCGAGAGCCAATAAATACTTGATTTGCAGTGCGGGCGAAGCTGCGTCCCCTTCGAGTACACAGAGCAAACTCCTCGATTTCTCCAAGGCAATACCGAAAATTATCCTCCTTCGGGCGAGGTTCTGCACGCGCGCGCGCGCGCGCCCCTCCCTCGGTAATAACGGCGGCGTCGCCGTCGGGCTCCGCTGTAACCGCGAGCGATGCCTTGTCTTTCTTGCGCCTCGGCCGGTTGCCTCCTCTTCGATCGAGGCCGTCGTAAATCTTCGTCCGGGGGCTCGGCACGAGTCTCGGGAGACCGGCGGGATCCGTGGCTCGGCCGCGAGGCAGGCTGATTCCGTGCCCCCGCCCGTTGCGCCAATCAACGGCGACGATCGCGCGACCAGCCGATCGAGACGCTTCGCCGCCTGGCCCCCGTGCGAGGCTTTCGGGGAAACGAGTGTTGGCACACGCGGCCTCCACAGCGATGCCGAAAGCCGAAGTAGCTTCCACGGGTTTCCGGGGCTAGAGCAAGGCGTGCGACTGCACCGCGAGACTCTTTCTGTCGACGAGCCAACGGCGCCGTACAATTTATTTCCGTCGTGGAGTTGCCGCGCGCAATCGAATTGGCAGGTTTCCGAAGGCTTCGGCGCGCTCTGTGCCCGACCGCGAGAGGAAAGACCGGTCCAATAACCGAGGCAGTGTTCCGCCGACGCGAAGCCTTACCGTTGGCGCAGGCGTCGTCGCAGTCGCGACGCAACACGGCAAACAGAAGAGCTTATTATTGACAGCCGTACGCGCATCTCTCTCGCTCTCTCTTTCGCCGGCGTTGGACGCGCGAGGAATCGGAGCGTCGCGGGATCCTCCCTTTCGTTGGCTGTCGTGTGCACGCGTTGACGGCCCTCAAGGGCAATCACGTCGCCGCGCGAGATTATGGTTTCGCGAGCACCTCTCGACGCGCAAGACAACTCGCGAAAATTGGATATTTCACAACGAGCTCTTGCGCCATCAGCCAAACTTTCCACGGGCGCGTTATATCCCATAAGGAAGCGTCACAATTCCGACAGCTCGCGCCAAACAACGCCCCATCCCAACTCAATGCCGCGCGTTTAGCTCGCCAAGATAAATTAAGCTCGGGCTTATCTTGGGCCGCGAGCGGATCAGAAAAAAAAGAGCAAACATTAGAGAGCCGCCGAGCGCTGATCCCTCGAAGCTTTCGTCGAGTATTTATTGCGTTCGACGGAGAAGCACCGCCGATCGATTTCTAGTTCGATTATAAAGCCGCCGTGCTCCCCCGCGCAAAAGAAGAAAGGCGGAAAAGGCGCGCGATAAACGAGCCCCTCAAAAACAAAACGAAAAAAGAAGCCCTAGCCAGAGACATTTAATCTGCCTGGAGCTTGACCGTAGCTTTTCTTCTCTTCGTTTTGCCCGTCTCGCTCGTCAACTCTGCCGCGCGGATCGAATTCACCAAACGCCTCTTCCGTGCCCCGCGCTAACTAATCGCTTTTCCGCGGCCGCGTCTCTCGCGCTCTTCTCGCTCGTGCGCGCGTCGGTCCAGTCCTGTCCGCGCGGCCAACGCTTGCGGACGCCAAGCCACGCACATTTCATTACGCGGCGAGGCGAAGAGAAAAAGGCACGTCGACTAGCCTATTGCAGATAAGCGTCGAGACGTTGCCAAAGGTTCCCGATGAAAGATTAAAGGCGAGAGGGCGAGCTTGCGAGCCACGTGTCGCGTCGCTGCACCCGCAGCGTCGTACCGACGTGGCGCCGCGCGCGTTCGCCGGTTGAAATGCCATTCGAGGCGAAAGAACACCGGCGCCGCGTTGCCGCTGCCAAATTAATTGCGGCGATCCGGCGGCGCTCGCTCGCAAGGCAAAGTCTAATCCGGATGAGGATCGCGCTGCGCTCACTTCGCCGTCTGTTTCTTTTCTCGGCTGCTGCTGTGCCGCGCCGGATTCAAAGTCCCGGAGGCCCTGTAATCCCGCGGCACTTACCGCGCGCAGCCGACGCTGCTGCCGCGCAGCGATAAAAAAATTTGGCAGGAGCGTGCCGCTCTGCGCGAGCGCCTTCGCCGGGACGAGCAACGGGGCGTCAATCCGACGGTCTCTCCGCGATCCCCTCTCTCGCCAACGGGATTACGTCCAAGCCAAACGAAGCTCGCGAGCCGCGTCGAACGAGAGCAACCGAGGCTCGCCGCGAGCCGAGCGATCGATACGCCGGGGGGGGGGGGGGTCTAACCCGCACGGGAAGATCTCGCCGCGTAATGGCGCGCCGCGTAATCCGCTAATTGATCGTTGCGCATTCGTCGTCGTCGCGCCGCCGAGCGGAATTGATTCGCGGCGCTTTTGTGCTCCGGCTCGCGCTCTCTTCGCTCGTCGCGCCTTTCGCTTTTGTGCGCCGCGCCAGAGGACCGATTTGAATGTCAAACCGCGAGTGCGCTGCGCCTTTGATGTCGCCACCGGGGGAAATTGCCTGTTTCTTTTTGGGAGTCGATGCCAATCTGGAAAACACTGCGTATTTTTTTCTTTTCTTTTTTTTTTCGATGCGTTTGTCGGCGGTGTATTCGGGCGAGGATTATTAATCTCTCGAGGGAAGAGACGGACGGCTGTGTTATATCCGAATTGGCTGTTTTACTCCCTCATCCCTTCCTTTTTTTTGAACGAGGATGGGGCCTTTCGGTTTCGCGACTAGTGCATTTTGAGAGTTTACCTAACGAATGCATGCAATTCGTGCAGTTGTGCGAGCTCGAACAATCAGCCGATCGAGTGGCAAACTGCACGTTGTTCGTGCAATCGAAGGGCCAATATTTGCATTCGAACGTCGGATTTCGAGACTTGGGTTAACAAATTTAATCAGCTTGCTCTTTATTAAGGCAAACGCGTTGATTGTTTTGCTCATATTGCGCACCGACGTGAAATAAAATAACAAAATATTCATCAGAGTGCACATTGCCTTAAAACTCCAACGTCCGAGAAAGAACGGAAAGGGACACCGCTACGGTCGAATGAAAAATAAAGCGAATAGCTCGGGCGATGATTCGGATGCTAATCTAAAGCGGCCAGCGGAGCTGGCTCCCACCGACCCCGCATAGGATCATGCAAAACTGCCGCTCGTTCCTGTCTCCCTCCCTCTCTCTCTCTCTTTCGCTCGGTGTACTCGCTATCGCAGTAATAAAAGGGAAACAGCCGTGCGACCGTGAAAATGCAATTCACTTGCGCTAAGCGTGCGCGGTCGATACGAAGCCACGCCGTGCGACGCCACGGAGAAATAATGAATTTTTCAACTCGCGAGACACGGAATACCAACGCTCTTATCCGGCATTCTTCGACGAGCGTTTCGGATTAATCGTTGTGTAGCTTAAATATCGCCGCACGCGTGGATAAACTAAAGCCGCGCGGCGCGTATGAATGTTTAATCGTCCCGAACGTTCGGCGTAAACGCGAGAGATTTTCACTGTCGAGCGGTGTGCGCCTCGCGAAAACGTGTGCTCGACGAAGGAGGAAGCCGCTGCTCGTGTAAATACAAGTTTTCAATTTTCAAAGACGAAAGCTGGCGCCGGGGCTTACAATTAAGGGTCGAATTAGTCGCACACGCAGAGCAGCAACATCGTCGAGTTTAATTATTCAGCTGGCACACTGGAGGCTCGCTGCGTATAGCTGTCGCGACTAGACAAGAGCACACTTTGTCAAGCTGCATTCGCTTAGCGTCGCTCGTCGTTTTTGCTTTTTGAAAAATCTCGTTTCCTCGAGCGGCGTCGAAAAGCTCGCGCGCGTGCTCGCGCAGACCCGCGGTGTCTGTCTCGCGGGCACGAGTTATTCCGTGCGATCAACGAGCAGAGCGCGTTGTGCCAGACAATTACGTTCCGTGCCGACGCCAGATCAAAAACGGAGACGGCCGATGGAGCGCAGCCGAGCGAGTCCTCCCTGGAGATGGAGAACGCGCGAGATCCATCGGTACCGTTTGCGCTAATACAGATGCCGAGGCGCGCGGGACAAATTACTTGGCCGCTCCTTCAAACTTCAGACAGGCAGCGTTGCGCCGTCGTCGGGGGGCACGAGGCGTGGCACCGTGTATACGACTCACTCGACACTTTGGCTTGCGCGCTCTTGCGCCAGCTACTGATGCGCTTAACGTCCGCGAAGCGGCTTGACAAGCTCGTTTTCTTTGGAACGCACAACGCCTTCGATTATTCCTCTGACATTTCCTACCGAATAAAGAAAGCTTTTGTAATGTAAGTCTAAGAACGATACTCCAAGAATTTGAGAATTGTAGTGAATAATGAATGATAGTCTTTCTTTCTATGTCGCTTCACTTTTTCATTGTCGAAAGCAGATATATTCCCAATATTCAAAGGCAATGCCAAATAGCTAAGGCCTTCGATTTTGCCAGCTCAACATTCAAGATTTTTCTTTTATTTTTATCAGAGGTCTTTAGCGGTCGTTATATGGGTACATTCGAAAATGCATCAGGCGACTACAAGATAAAATAACCACGGCACTGTGCGCCCCGGTGGAGAAGACGTGCGTGAACGGCCTGTGGTCTCGACACTACAACATCATCGTTGTCCGCCACCGCCACCGCGAGTCGATTCAATTAAAGCTCGTACCCGGTTGCGCGGCTTTGTTATCGAGGCCGACACTCTCGACTGCTTACCTCCCGTTATTCCACGCCTGACCTAGCGTCGACTCACGCCACTGAATATTCCGCCGATAAAGGCGCGCGGGCCGACAAATCAACGCTCGAGCCACTACCTGCCCGCAACACAACCGCGATATATCAGCTGCTCACCTGCACGCCCCATAAACTCGTGGACGCATCTGTCACTGTGACGCTCTCGCGAGTGGCGAGTGATTACGCTGTAAGCTTTCTCGAGCAATTTATTTTCTCCCACCGATTGTTCTGATGCGCGGAATCGATGTGAAAACCTTTCAATATGCCCACACCACGAGGAAGATACTTGACGGATCAAAAGAGCAGTTCTTTCCTTCGTCGTACGTCAAATTTACATTCGTGCATCTCTGCTTTGGGCGAATATTCGCTTCGTCGTAACGTGCTAAAAATCGGGCAATCACGTAATGGAATTTGACGCGAAATGCAATTCGATCGTGAGCGCGCAAACATACACAGGCAGATGCCAAGAACAGGAGGACAAAGCAATCGAAGCTCTTCTGCTCAAACGAGCTCGCGTAACAATTCGTACGCGGCAGTAGGGTCAATGCTCTCGCTCGAGCAGTCGGAGAATTTCGGGACACACATGGTATCTCTCTCTCGCTCTCTCGCAATTTGTCGTGATTACGTACTAATGGCACGTGCGCGCACGCGTAGAGTCTGTCCGCGATATTAACGTATCGCTAATCTTGTAATGGTAAGTGTCGTTATGCGCACTATGCTCACAGGACTACATTCTATGTCGATTGTTTCAGTGGACAACAATTATTGCTTCATCTCTAATTCCATTATTTGAATGTGACACCAACATTTTTACTTTCAAATAATAGAATGTACAGAATTAAGAATCTGATCTCTTTTATGTATCGAAAAATGTCAATTAATGATTATTTTTCACTAAAATTGGATTGAGATAATTTTTTTTCTTTTTGTGTTCTTATAAAATATCTCTGTAATATTATAAAAACTCCAAAAGCATATCTGATACTTGAAAAAATGTTTATTCAATATGCAAAGAGGGTTTTACTAGAACAGAAATATTTTTGAATAAGGAAAAACCATTTTATAGATCATTTGAAATTGTACGAAATATCTTTCTATTTTACAGGCTTTGATAGTTCTGTATTACATTTACAATATTATTCATCATGTAAATCAATTCTTTTGATGATAATGAAAAAGTATAGATACTGATGTGCATTTCTATTAGGGTAGAAAAAAATGAAAATCATTGTTTTAGTTGCTCCATAACAGATCTTATGTTTTTCAATTCTAAAACAAAAATATAAAAATTTCTAATTTTGTTTGTAATAAATAAGAATATAAATAGAAAACTACCTGTAAGTATTCCTCCCAATGAGTCTTTTGGAATATTAATTTCTGTCTTTAGCTTTTCACCATCTTGAACACTTGATGTTTCAATGGTCAGTTTTGCAAATGGAGAAGAGCTATTACAAGGTTCAACCTCTGCTGATACAAGTCTACTTACTTTAATAAAAAGTTTTATATAAGTCTTTTTTAATTAAAAAAAGAGCCATGAATATTTACAAACTTCTACATACACCTTAAAGATTTTTCTGTGAGTATGGCAGTGATTTGTGCACAATTATCTGTGTGCAGCCTAGAAATAATTACACTGTGTTCTCGTGGTAATCCTAGTTGTTGCAATTCATCACTGAGGTCAGCAGCTAATACGCTATTCCTTGATGACGATATAAAGATCTTTCGAATGGCAGCAGTCAGAGCTTGCAGCTCATCAATTTCTTAAAATTAAGAAAGGAATTGTATAAAATATATCAATCTGACAAGAATTCTTATAAAATAATGAAGATTATCATACCTAGTTTAGAGTCTTGAGCAATTTTTTTGAATTTTTCTTCCTGAAAATAAGAGTAAAATGGTCATAATACAACCATACAAAGAATCAATGCAATTGATCTAAAATATTAACTGACATCCAATTCTCCATCAATGATTGATTTCACAACAAGTGTTCCCAGGCTTTTTATTTTGGAAGCAGACTGTAAAAATGTCTTTAATTAAAATATAAAACAACAAATCATTTGATTTATAAATACAAAATAGACAGTAATCAAACCATTTGTGATAAACTATAAATTTCAGCAAGAAGCCAATCTGGGCAGTCCACATCTCCAAGAAATCTAAATCTCTGTAACCAAAAGGAACAAAATCTTGAAGTATTTACAATGTAAATGTACTAAAAATACCATAGAATTTTTAATTTACCATATTGAAAATAAAAATGATTAAACAGCCAACGTCAAATAGAAAATGAAAACTTGCGAAATGGATATTGTGTCCTTAAAAAATAATTAATTGTATTATTTCTTTTTCAAAACAATCACTTCTCACAGAATAAGTAAATATATAATTATTAGCAATGTAAGCAGAGTGCGCAGTCACATGAAGGTTATAGCAGTTTTCAACTGCGATTTTTTATTATTGCGGCAATATTTAATTTTTGTTGTAAATATATATAAATATATATATATACACATACAACAAAAATTTTAAATATTATGACTCATCTCCATCTTCATCTGTACTCTGCTAACATTGCTAATAACAGTTATGTATTTACCTTGTAGTCTGGAAGAAGTCCGCCTACGCCTAATTGGCCTCGGGCTTAACCTACAGGATTTCTGTCGAACCAAAAATATCAGAGCTTTGGATGATGGCATGAGTTCATATATGTGCACTGTGTATACGTTCTCATCGACTTTTTGATTTATAACTAATTGAACTCCAGATAGTAAAAGTAATTTAATTATATAAACATTATATAAATTAAAAGTAAATTAAGTTAAAAAATATACATTTATGCCTATAGGTTATGTTTAATCGAATTTCAAGAAAAAATTACGAAATAAAATATTTAAACTTGAATGTTCACCAAAAAATCTCAAATTTATTATGAATAATTTAATTGCTAATTTAAGTAGCAATGAATAGTTATTAATTTATAAGGAGTATCATCAGTTATTAAATAACATTGCATACTTTATAATGAATGGAGTTTTCATTAGCATTTCCATTAGTTTTAAATATTTTTCCAGGATTTGGATCTGCTAAATTAAAAATTTGTAAGGATGTTATTTCGAAGGATAAAATGCATCAATACTGATTGTCTTATATTCTACCAAAAATTGTCATTATCAACTGTAAGTTTCCAATGTGCAGATAATACAAAAAATAATTTAGATGCAACAATTAAGAATTATAATCATAAAACACAAGACCAGAAATCAAAAAAGTTAAGCTACTGTACCAATGATGTACGTAATTTTTTACAAAAAAAATTGCCAAATCATATCGATTTGATTCCTAAAATTCTGCTGCGTAGAGCTAATGAACAAAGTGCCAAATTATTTATCATTGATGAAAATTATGCAAAATCATTAGCATTTATAATTTCTAAAGAATTATTAAATGATTCATCACATGTAATAAATTGCAGTCCTGGATTAGGATTTTTAACTACAGAACTATTGAAAGCTGGTATACCACAGATTCATCTTTATGAAATGAATAAGAGTTTTTATATGCCTGGTGGACCATTGTCTGTATTAATAGATCAGCATCCAAACAAATTGAAATTGTATCCATTAAATTTTTCGAAAGTTTGGAAACTTTTAATGAGAGATGAATTTTGTGAAACAAGAGAAGTAGAAGAGTATTTTGCTCATATACCATATTCTCAATGGAAAAGTAAAACATACATGCAAGTTATTGATTTCTCTCCTACTCGGAAACCTATCACATTAATAATGTACAACTTTTTCAAACAAACACATCTGTTTGAACGTGGACGGCCATGTTTTTATATTGGTGCACCAACTCCAGCATGGCATGTGAGTTTTATTGGGTTAGTTTATTATACGTAAAGTAAGACTAATGAAAACTAATAATTTTTTCAGAATTTGCTCGATATAAATGGTAGATTTTATTCGCAATATAGTGTGATGTTCAATCTATTTTTTGATATAAAACATCTTGGTGATTTCCCACGAGAATCTTTTATACCTTGGCCTAGAGAAAAATATTGGAAACTAGATAATTTAGACATTCCTATCCACATAGTGAAGCTTGAACCAAAAAAAGACGTTTTTGATATTCTAACAAAAGATGATTTAAAATCGTTTTGGTTTTTCTTGAAGTACTGTTTGAAAACTCGCAGAAATAAAGTTCTGGCTGAATTTGAGTAAGTTTACCTGCTACACAAAATGAATTTATAGAAACATTAGTATCTTTGTATTACTATGTGTATATAATGCAGAAAACTGGTACCTGGATCAGGTATAAAACTCATTAAACAAGATTGTGGTATTCTGACAACATTCAAAGAATTATCTCCACAAAAGCTTTTAGAAATTTTTAAAATGTATCGTTCATGGCCCGAGTATGATGAAGTAATGTTTAATCCTAGATTATCTATAGAAGAGAAGGTATTATTTTATATTTTACTATTATAAGTTAGTAAAAAATTTATATGTGAGTAATTTTTTTTAGAAAAATACTGAAAAACTTGAAGAGGATGATTTTGTGGAGGAATTTGAACAGGAACTTGAGGATAACGATAATCAAGCTTTATCTACTGAAGATAAACAGGGAAATGGTTAGATGTAGTATATATTGATTTTACTAGACAGATAACTGTTTTATCAACTTGTTAGATAATCAATTCAAGTCTCATTACTCTAAATTTATAAAATATCATTTAAAGAATATTCTGTTGTATTATTAACAAACAGCATCTATTTCATGAAGTATTTGTATTAATATAGTTTGTTAGTGGAAATTTTGTTAGCTTTCATTGGAATTTTGCAGAAACACAAATCTGTATTATAATAAAAAGTTTCGAGTTGAATATGTAATTAAAAAAAATGTACATAGATGTATATAGATGTTGAGTGAATGTAAATATGATACAAAATAAATCTAATTCAAGAAGTCTGTTAGACTATTCCACCTGTAAGACTTATGGAAATAGCTGCTTTATAAATATTTCAATCCTTTGATAGCGATATTTTCAATTTTCATATTATATTTGATAAGATTTCATAATCATAAAATGACAATAAACACATCAAATCGAATAAAATTTTAATTATGTAAAAATTGTATTTACCAAAGAGAATTGAATAAAGAGTAATGAGAAGAGGGTTAAAAAAGTCCAAAGTGAATAAAAAGCATAGTGCAACTAACGAAAACTTTATTGTTTTATTAATTCAATAAAAATGTAAGATATTACATAAAATAGCGAACGTCGTTTATAAAGTGCTGAAAAATAATAAATATATGACACTAAAAGACAATAAATTGATAAAACGACAGGGATATTATCTTTGGAATGTAGACACATATATTTTTTTAAATCCATATCATATTTGCTTTTACACAGTTGTACATCGATATGTGGAACAGGAATATCTTTGTTGAAATATATGCATGGATGCATGCGAAACAGATATTATAGAAACTGAGAGATTTTGAGTTTGTATATATGTAGGCTGCATACAAGTTTTCGTCGTTATATACTTCCATTCGTCGTGTAAGCCTAGTAATTTATTTACATTGTGCATTCGACAAAAGTTCCTCTTTCTCTCTCTCTCTCTCTCTCTCTCTCTCTCTCTCTCACGCTTTCCTCGTCTAATTACATTTAGGTAAACTTGCGCGCAATAACATGCTGCCTCGAGATATCTGCCTTTCTCGGAGAGTCGAGTCTTAGTCGTCGTAGAAATATTCCCTCGCCTCATCCTTTTAGAGTCGTCGTGCTGATAAAATCAAAATCTCAGTGGACTTCTATTTTTTGTGCTATAGATTATTTTCTGGACGGTTATATTTCGAAATGGAAAAAATATTATACTGCTTGAAAGTTGTCAAAAGAGTGTATATTGACGACTCTATGTACGAGCGTTTTCTTTTATTGCGTGCTTAACGGGTCATAAAATTTCCAACTTGGAGAAATATACGTTTATAGCGCGTAAAATATTTTTAATCTGCCTGCCGTCTGCGTCTCCTATTTGAAAGCATTTCCTGATCAATTATTCAACGTCTTATATAAAATTATAATTTTTTTATAGACAGGTACTTGATACTTTTTTTTGGTATATGATTCGTTTGATTCTCCATTTGTGTTCGTTCATAAAAAACTGACTTGTATTTCGCGATCAGTCCATTTCACTATTCATCTTTTCTACCATACTTTAGTCAATAAGGTGTACATCGTTTGAAAAGTCGAAGAGTTTAAAATAGACTTATCATTAGATATTTGGTTTGTTATTATTCGTATTACAGGAGTATTGGCACGATGAAAGAATTTAGGTACTATAAGCTTCTTATTACACAAGTTTCAATTCTTCGAGCGATGTTCCATGGAAAAGTCAGTTTATCGTGTATCATAGTACTAAACTGTACTTTGATGTATCGTGCATCAATGTGGTAAAAGTCTATGAGATACTTATCAACTAATTAGTAAATGAGATGCGTGTACATATACTTAAATTAAAGCTTTGAGTCTCGTTCAATCTAAAAAAGTTGCATCAAATTAATATCATTAGAGCAACGCTGCCGTGCGGCAAAGTTGAATTTCATAAAAATCACGCTAATAACCGGATGCTTTGTCCTCGGCCATGGTTAAAACTATAATTGCATTGTCAATCTTTACGTGTGACGCTAAGATAGCAAATGAAAGTTGTACGCTCCTAAGGATCTGTAACCATAAAAATCGCATTTGCGCAGAAAGAAAACTTGACACGGAATGTCCTCGAAGCAGTTTGCAGACGCGAATGTACATTCGAAATACGTTCACCGTCGGGCATTAGTAACATTTCGATTTTGTTCCCATAAGTCTGGTTCACATTTCGGTCCAGCCGCGAGGATAATCACGAGCTGTGAGCGCGCATTCGTCCTGTTCTAGGACACATAAGGTCAAATCAACAGCGCGCTCGCGAAAAACGGAAAGAGGTAGAGTCGATAAAAATTGTACAACGTGATCCCATAAAAGTCCATCGTAACGTCTTTTAGGCTTCTGTCTATAGCGCTACAACTGTTCTGGTATTTCCGGCGAACAATTGAAAAAAATGAAGCTGACTAAAGTATGGTAAGAGCGTGCGGTTCTGTTGGTATGTCCAGCATCGACGATATGACGATACACGGTGACAGATAGTTCTAGAATAACGCGTGTGCGTGCAGAGTAACGTTCAATAGATGTCAACATTTAGAGAAAAATATATCGCCAGCCAACTTTGGTTAGTATGGTTGCGTATACATCCATCTATAGTTCGCTTTCAATATAATTATATAATCTTTTTCAGTGCTTTCAATTAGACATCGCAACCTTAAATATTAAATGTATATCTTGCAGCCTTTCTCTGTCCTCTCGCGAACGGAAATGATATAACGGTGCGTGAAGTCAGGCGAAACTGCACTAGTCAGTCGATGGGAAGCGTCGCGACAAGCAAACAAAACGAAAGCTCGCCATGGCCGGCGAGCGAAAGAGCCGAGTGAGCCAAGTAGTGGAGAAGTGATTAAGCCATCGCCAGTTGTTCAGCTTGGGCGTGTCGCCTGTCGCGAGCCTGCAACACACCAACGCGTCTGTATCTCGGGGATCAGAGGGAATCGCGGCTTGCAAGCGAGCTTCACCGAAGGGATCGCAGGGGGGAGGGGATGCAGGTCGGCTCGGCCTTATTTTCGGGGGCTGCGTGTCTCGTCCGAAAAGACGGGCGCGTGAGCTCTAATCTCTATTAGAAGCTTCATAGGAATATATAGACCAGCTCGGCAGCTCTTGAATAATGCCGGCGGATTAAATTAATAAGAAGCTTTGCGCGCGCCTTTCCTTCTCGGAATCACCGGGATGAATTTTCGTCCGAGTGAAAGCCTCGCCGCCGCGGGATAATTATCGGAAGCCCCATGGGAAGAGCCTTCTTTTGCTATCGCGGCGGCAGGCCGATGTCGCAAGAATATTCCTCCGCGTTATCGGCGTGACGTTTTGCATAACGGGGCGAGGTGTTCCCGAGGAAGCGAGCGCAAAAAGGAAAATAGGATTCGCAGATATGGTCGCGGGCGCGCGCTCTCGCCGGAATATCTGGGTAAAGTGGATACTAAAGGTTTTACACGTGGCAGCGGCTGGCGCGCAAGAGAGAGAGAGAGAGAAAGGCGCCGCGAGCGAAATAGACCTAGCGGCGCATGAATCAAATGCTCGCGCTCGCGAGGCCAATGAAAGCGCAGCCAACGGCCTGCAAACCTACATACGCGCGATGCGTTGTCGCTCTTCTTTCCGAACTGCCATGTCAATGCTACGTGTTTTTTAACGCGAGAACAATGGCTGGATTAAATGCGTCTTCGTTGAAGGCTTTCGGCGCATGAATGTCGTGTCATTACCATTCTCTCTCTCTCTCTCATTTACTCCCCTTTTTCAATAGGTCATCACTGCGCGCGCTTTCGTCGATCGATTTTCGCCGCGGAGTTCGCGCACTCGTTGCATTTTCACCGCGGCGATCGCGCCAAACTTTCATTCCGCGGCGACGCGACGCCTCGATGAGGGTCAAAAAAGCAACAGCGCCGAGGACGCTCCAACGGCAAACAGCAGCCCGTTGATAAATATTCCAACGCGCGGATGCACTGCGCCCGAGCAGCGTCTCAATATTAACACAGCCCGCGCGAGCATTAGTCGGATAAAGACGCGCGAGAGAATAGCAGAGGAAAGCAAAGCGCCTCGAGGGGGGGGCGAGCGAGACGGTTGGCGTACAATGGCCAAGTTTTTAGCGAGAAGCGACTCGTCGGCGCCCCACGCTGACGCACCAATGTGCGCGAGCGACGGGCAACATCGATATTTCTAGGAGCAGCTAGCTGCTTCCTCGTTCGCGACCTTCGATCCGAGGAGTCCGTTCGCGCGGCTATATAGCGGGGCGATCGCTTCGTTTGCCTGCGCGGCGAGACTTCCCCCCCCCCCCCCCCCCCCGCGAGCGACCTTGCCGCCGTGCCGAATGCCCGCTGAGTCCGCGGGAGCAGGCTTTCTCCGAATGGCACGGCGCGTCCGAGGAGCAAAACGAGAGGACGTCGCGACGCCAGGTGCAGCTGGCGTCATAAAGTTTATGCTAAGCATTAAAGAACAAGTAGCCACTCGGAGAGAGCGAGATCGTAAAAATCCGTGGCCAGCTAGAACGTGTCTGTCCGACGAGCGACGCGAGGCCGAGACGGCGGGGGGGAGTACGCAAGGAAAGCAATCGGCTCACCTAGTGCCAGATGGCGTCGTCGGGGCCGTAGGCCGAGGGCGGCGCAAGCTGCTTGGCGAGGACGTCCAGTCGCGGCGGCGGCTGGCTCCACTTCTTGCCGCGCACGCCCACGAACTTGCCGCGCAGCTCCCAGCGCGGGTTCTTCTTGCCGCGCGAGCTGAAGAACCGGTAGGGCGACCGCTTGTCCACGTACCTCTCCGGGTCCGCCGCTCCTGTCAGCCGACGATCGTGCGCGTCGGTTTTTACGGTCGCTCCGGGCGCCGCGGCCCGTGCGTCACCCGATGGGCTTGCGTGCACGCGCGGCCCTGCGCCTGGCAGTCCGAGCGCGCGATGGCTCTCGCTGACGGCACTCGGACAATTGCGCAAGCCAATAATCCGCGCCAGGCGCCGGCGCTCTCGTTTAATTTCGCGCGAGGCGCTTTGGTAATCGAGTGCCGCGGACGAGCGTCGGAGCTCCGGTCGGCGAGCGGACGCCAGGCACGCAATCCCAAGGGCGCGCGAAAGACCGCGGCAATGGAAAAAGAGACGGAGGCGTAATCTCTCACCGTAATGGCTGGCGCTTCTTCTGCCTCGCATGCCGTGGAAGCCCATCATCATCGGCCGCTTGCCCACGTAACTGTCGACCAGCGGCAGCTCGTCCTGCTCAGCGTAGAGTCCCTTCTTGCCTCGCGTCCCCTGCGCGCCAACACAGACACAGACACACACACACACACACACACACACACACGTTGCATCGTTTATTCCAGCTTACCGTCGCGCCTCGCCGCGCGGCCGACATACGCCTCGTCGCACTTCGTCTCGCGCGAGCGCCGCCGATGTGCCGCTGTGGAAGGAAATCTCGGCGATAAAGAAGAATTCGCACAATGCCGCGAGCGACAATAAACTAGCATGAGAGTCGGCGGCTGCGATGACGTAGTGCGCGGACGTGGGCGCGCGGCCGCGACCCGCTGCGGGCCCGCGGCGAAAGCCTGGCCGGGGCTCGGCTACGGGTCCACCGCCGTCGTCGCGGGATCGACTCGCGGCAGATCCGTGGCGCGAGTCGTAAATAACGGGCTCTCTCACTTGGAATCCGAGCACGGCGCGCTTCTCCAGCTCGTCGGGGTAGCTCTTGCGACCCCTCGTCCCCTGGAAGCCCATGGCCATGGGCGCGCGCTTCTGCCAGTCGTCGGAGTCGTCGTAGTAGGGCGACAACTCGGCCGCCTCCTCCTCGTACTCCTCGGCCTTTTTACCGCGCATACCCTGGAAGCCCAGCATCGCGCGCTTCTCCAGCTCGTCGATTACCTGCGGAAAAACTTTGAAACTTAGTGAGAGCTCTTTACGGCGCCAAGCGTTACACACTGCTGCTCTGATGAATCTCTTTTCTTCTTTCCCGGCCACCTACTTCGGATATATTGCCGGCCATTTTTGAATTTACACCCAGGACCTCTTTGCTGCTCTTTGCTCTCCCACACTCTTATCCTCTCAACGTCGATCAATTTTTCCAGGCGCTGCTTCGATGAAGCGCGGAACGTAAATTCGACCGTTAGAAAAATACATTCTAGTTGGAAAAGTTAATTTAGAATCGTTCTCTCTCTCTCTCTCTCCCTCCCTCGCTTTTCATCGCTCGAGTTACGAATTTCAGTTTGGTAAGAAGCTTTCTTTGGCTTTATTGCCCCTTCGTAGTCCTATTTGTACGTTTTTACGCGAGCATATAAAAGCTCGCGCAATCGTATTTAAAGGCAATAAACGATAATGTTGCTCTCGCGAGGCAGCAGCGGGCAACAATTCATCGGCGCAAGCAGCTTCAAAGCACAATACCTGTTCTAAATTCTTCTTGCCGCGCATCCCTTGAAAGCCCATGGGCGCGCGTTTGTAATAGTCGTCGTCGTCGTCGGCCTTCTTGCCGCGCATCCCCTGGAAGCCCATCGGCGCTCGCTTGTCGTAGTAGAAGTCCTCGTCCAGCAGCTCGTTCTCGCTCTTCTTGCCCCTCATGCCCTGGAAGCCGCGCATCGAGGCGCGCTTCGAGTACTGGCCCGCCAGCAGGCGCCTCAGGTACGAGGGCTCGCGCGGCTGCTGGCTACCCTACGGACGCGAGCAGGCTTGCTAGTCGGTCGTCGGCTCTGCTGGACCGCGTTGGTCACGCGGACGCTCACCGTGCGCTCATCCACGTCGAAGGTGCTCTGCCGCGGCTGCTGCTGTTGTTGCTGCTGCTGTTGTTGCTGCTGCTGGCTCGTATCCGCGGTGGTGGTCGTCGAGTGCTCGGCCAGTGCCTGGCCGCCGCTCGGTGCCAACAACGCCAGCGCGATCAAGGCCAAGCTCATCCTGCCGGTGCTCGCTCGCGCGCTAATCGAACACAAGCGTCAACCGAGTTCTTTCGGCCCATCCTCTCTCTCTCTCTCTCTCTCTCTCTCTCTCTCTCTCTCTCTCTCGCTCACTCGTTCGGACTTGGCGGGCCGTGCCGGCCGACAACGAGCGAGTTGACACAAGTGCAGTCGTCGCAAGCTGTCGCGCGATCAGGAGTGAGGGAGCGGCCGAATGGAGCCGCACGAGAAGAAATCGCGTCGAAGTGCTTGTCTTATCCGGCATCCGGCGGCGCGTGGTGTGCGCGCGGCAAAACAATTTCATTAATAAAACTCGGCGGGGAGGGCAAGGGACCGAGGTGAGTTACGAGCAATAACGCGATAGTGCTCGGAGAAAAATGGCTTGTCCTACGGCTGATAAGATGCACCGCTAATTCTTGGATTTATGGAGGCGGCCGAGCCACTTGGCGCGCGCCAAATCTTTTGCCGGTGAATAATTAGCGGAACGGCCCCACTACGTAGCCGCGCCACGCCGCGCGGATAGCAAAGCGACAATTCATCCGACGCGCTCGGGCTCGTAAAAATTTAATTGCGCCAGACGAGTCTTCTTTACGGCCGGCCCCCGGTCTCGCGTATCCGAAATATCGCGCGCGCGCTCTCGATTCCCGTCGAAGTCGAAGTTGCTGTACCGCGGCGGCCTTATAACCGACGAGCCGACGTCGCGGCCGCGATAAATCTGTCTCGCGCTCGGCGCCTGCCGACTCGCGATTGCGCATCGTCCAGCGGCGAGTAGTAGGATCGACGTGCGGTCGGACGCCGCTCCGGCACTTCCAATTCGCCGGGCGTCGAAACGTGGCGAGCGCGGCATGTAAGTCGGCGAGCGCCGCCGGCAAGACGAGCAGCGAGCGGGCGAGCAAGTTGATTGCGCGGCGCGGGGCAGGGCTCGCGCATAATCAACGGGCGCGGCCCCTTTCCGAAGAACAAACGCAGCTTCGCGCGTCCCACGAGATATCGTAATCCCGCTCGGCTGGTCGTTAAGACTTTGCCCCCTTCCTTTTGCCCGCGAGATATCGCCGGTGTACTCCGAGTTTTGCAGCAACGAAAACGACAGAAAAAATTGAAGGCGAGCTCGTTAGTTGCTTTCGCTCGTCAAAGTGAAGCCTCGGAGGCTGCTCGCGCCGGTGGTGTAGCCAAATTAGCATGGCGCGCCGACATTTTCACGGGGATACGCTGTAGTACGCTCTGCTCTTTCGCCCCCGTTATGTACGAATTCATCGAAATCTACGTCGACGTTGTTCGGCAGCCCTGATTGAATGAAAAAGAGAAGAAGAGAATCTGTATGGATTTGCTCCACTCGAGCCCGGTTATTTTATTTCCGAGCGCTAAACCACTTGGCTATAAAAATCATGAGATATTCTAAAACTACAGCCACCACTCCGAGTAGAATAAATAAAGGAGAGTTTTTTTTTCCTTTCTGCGGCGGATATATAATCCCACTCGTGGAATAAATAACCGTACGTAAGCTTGAATGGCGCTGCTGGCAACGACGACCGACGAAAAAAGAGAGCGCACCGCAGAGCGGTTAGCGTCACACCTCCTGAAAATACGTCGGCCAAGAAGCGAGAGAGAAAAAAATAGGCAGGTCGCCGGATGAGAGAGGCGCGCGCACGGTAGCTAGCCTTGGAGGGATTATATAGAGGAAAGCCTTTTCAACATGCTCGGCTGGGCATGCAAGAGAAGAGATTGATTGGCCGTTATAGCAGTGCGCGGCACAGCAAAATGCTTGGAAAAATTAAAAGAGACCCGAGAGTAGCCAGAGCGGAAACGTGACCGAGTTTCAACCGCACGAATTGTACTCGCGACGACGCGGCTTGTTCTCCGACAAATTGACTGCTCAAGTATTTATGTCGACTTCGTTATTTGACTTGATTGGCTTCTCTCTCTCTCTCTCTCTCTCTCTCTCTCTCTCTCTCTCTCTCTCTCTCTCTGTCCCCAGACCGAAGCTCATAATCTCATAATTAGGAAAACATTGCGTCGACCACTTTCATCAAAGTTCGCGGGCGCGTCATCCACCAAGTTAGCGCGACTTCAAAGAAAAAACACAATGATGTATTCATGTATTCGCTACCTGCGCGCGCGGCAAAAATTCAATCGTGGTATCATAATTTCGCGGCGAGTAATGCTTGCGGAATAAGCCCGGAATCGTCTCCCCCCCCCCCCCCCCGGAAGCACGCCAATCCGGTGAATTAACGAGCGCGCGAGGAGGCAGAGATTAGAGGCGACACGTGTTTACTTTTTTCCATCTCCGCGGCATTAATTCGCCCTCCCGCGCCCCTCGATTGATAAATGAGCGCGACGCCGCGCTGCACCGAGTTGTCCTTTATTTTATTCATTTTCATTTTGTTTTTTTTTTTTTTTTTTTTTTCAAAAGCGCGCGCCTTTATGCCTCTATCTCGCTCGTGACGTGCGCGCAGGCGGGAATAGCGAGGCGAAACAAAAAGTCAGGGCAAGAATGACACATTCGCACAAAGCAGAAGGGAGCATCGCTGCGCAGTTTCAGGCGCGCCTAACAATTATCCGTCTCCGCATTGTGCTTGAGAATATAAAACGGTTTGACTCTATATATAAACAAGTGCGCGAACGTTATACCGATAAATCGATCCGCCGAGCAGGGAATCTTAGAGCACGAGCCCAGCGAAATAACAGAGCCGTGGCGGATAGAATGAACGGAGATTAGCCCGAAAAACCAATAAAGCCCTTTGGCAGCGGCGTTGCAAGCTAGTTAATATAGAAATTTGATTCGCACCCTTCCCCGGCGCATCGGAAAGTGTCGCGAAAGGGGTTAATCTATCCGACGCCGCGACCTCAAAGCTCCGACGCCTCCTCCCTCTTTGCGTCATAGCTGAGCGCCGTCGCTCCTCGTCGCTGGCTCGTGTAATTGCCGCGATAAACGATTTTGCCACACTCTCTCTCTCTCTCTCTCTCTCTCTTTCTCCGTCTGTCTCCTTCTGTTTCTCCACCGTCTCGTATTTATTGAAAAGTCGCCTTTGTCCGGGTTGCAGCGGCCCGCGTGCGATCAATCTTCTTTAGCGCGAAACAAGTGTAAACGATTGTAGTTCTGCTTGCTGTCCCTCTGTGCGTTCGCGCGGCAGCTACAGCTTTGCCTCGCCGCGATATCGGCGGCCACGGCCCACCAAACGCAAATATGCTGTCGAGCTGATTGCGCACGCAGAATCAAATATTCACCGGAAAGTCGAACAATCGCGTCGATATTTGACGAGCATAGCTGTATTTGGGCAATTGGTCACATATCGGTGCTAACTGGTTTCGCGCGAATCGGTTCGGCGTCAACGAGGCCCGTCCTCGCGACGAACGGCGAAGCACAGCGAGGCAAATACGAGAATCACGGCGATCTCCAGGAAGTCGGCCTCCAGAACCGCGAGCATCGCCGCGCGCCAGTTGCGCCAGTATCGGCAACCGTTGTCGCGGAATAACCTCTTGGGCTCGGTGTCCATCGCCTAGAAACAATTGCACGAATCCGAGAGAAACAAAGGCGCGGCAGGGCCACGAGCTCGGCTCGAGGTTAGGGGCGAGAGCATGACCGACTTGTCGTTGCTTTGCTGCCAACTGGCGAAGACGTTAGGATTTGGCGAGGTGGCCGAGCGATCGACTGGGAAAATGCCTGGCCGTCGGCATGAGAAGCTGGCGCGATGACTGGCCGCGAGTTGGCGACTTGGCCGCTCGCTCGTGCGTGCGACGCAGCTACTGCGAGCGGCACCGACGGCAGCGACTCGACGCCGCCGAGTCGAGGTTCGCGTTCTGTCGGAGGCGCTCGGCCTCGCGACCGTCGCTTTCAGTCTGACGATCGTTCGCAGAGAGCAGCGGGATCGGCGCCGCCAGTACGAGTTCAGCGAGGACGAGAGCCTCGTCAACTCGCTCGGCAGCTCAGCGGCCGACGACTGGGGCACCGAGCGACGGCGGCAGCCGTCGGCGACGTCTTGTCTCAAGAGCGCCGCGGATGTCAGAAGTACGCGACACGTTTCGTCATGCGAAAGTTGACGGGTGCTGCTGCCTCCGAACGGTTTCGAGTGTTACTTTTCCAACAACGCCGACGGCCATCTCGAAATTGGCTCCGATCGCAGCAAACCGTCCGCGCATCAAACTCAAATCGACGAATTGGTTCAGGGAACGGCATCAGAAAGCGAGTCAACTTCGCGGATGAGGGATCATCGCTGGTCGACCACACCTACGCTGCATCGAGCATCTCTGATGGGCAGCGACGGCCGAGGAGCGGCGCGATAGCAGTCGCGAGACGACGTCCTCGCGCAAACCAGGCATTGGATCGACCGACGATGGCGGACGTCGTGCAATCGGCGACAAGCGGTAAATCCCTTGCGTGCGCGTTGATCGACAAAAGAAAAAAGAAAAAAAAAAAAAAAAGAAAAACAAACAAACAAAGAAATACCAAATGTACCGCCTATCACATAAAAGCTCTGGAGGGATTGTCGCTGTCGTCGAGCGACCGACGTTGCGCGCCAAGCGGTCCGCCGCGCATCGTGAAAGCACGGGACGCTCTGAGAAGACCGGCTACGAGGAGAATGCTGATCTACCCACCGGAAGGTCAGCGAGGTGAACCGCTGACCTTGAATAAGAAATGGTCCAAGATCCAGTGCCGAGTAAACGGCAACGAGGACGCTGGTTTCAGGTGACCATGCTCCTTCGGTTCGTCATATAAAGTCGACGGGTTGGGAAGGGGGGGGGGGGGTCGCAGCAGGGGCTTCGGGGCCATTTAAAGTCACCACTGTTGTTAATGAGGCTGGACGCGTCGCGTGATTCAGCCTCATATTTTATTCAGGGAGCTACAGTTACGTTCATATTCATTTTCCGTCCAATTTCCATTCTCTCGCTCGAGCACTATTCAATGAAATTCATCCAACTGTAAGTTTACCTTTGTTTCCGGGAAAACCGGCGGCCCATTACTAAAAATATTACACAGTATTAACGAGTTGATGGATGGTCATTAAACAGTTGCTCGCTCTCCAT